CATTGACAACATCGCGCACTAATATTTTTACCACTTCGGACACCAGCTTTAGACGTTTCGCATATGTGTACGTGTTCCATATTAAAACGACAATATAATGCTATTAACAATTAAAGTTCAAGTTCAAGTTCAAGTATGTTTATTGAGACAAGAAAAAAATACATCTCAAAGGGATAGAGTAGCTTAGGCTATTTCTACCCCCCTCTACTTCAAGTCCCTCAAGGGGCGCACAAATTCAGTGAGTACAGATACACAAATCACAATACAACATTTAACATTGCATATTAATATAGTAAGTGTTACAATCATTGGGGCAAAATTCTTGTAGTTCCTAAGTATTCTGTCTATCATATCATTATCACACATCCAAACAATTTGAAGTGGTACACTACTTATTTCCTTATTTCTATGGTTATCCATAATTTGACACTTTAATACATAATGGTCTTCCAAGTTCAAGTAGGTTTATTGAGACAAGTTAAAAAAAAAAAAAAAAAAAAAAAAAAAAAAAAATCAAAGATTAGCTTAGGCTATTTCTACCCCTTCCCATACTTCAAGTCCCTCAAGGGGCGCACAAATTCAGTGAGTACAAATACAAGAATCCCATGTAACATATCAGGTTAATATAGTACTATCTAAGAGTATAATAGTGTACATCCACCGCACTAGATTTTAACCCATTAACGCTCCAAGATAATATTCTCACTCTACTTTCATCCATGATTTAATAAAACTACCTTTGCCCTGTCTGTCACATTCCATGAGATACGAGATTTTCTCAGACAGACTCTCCCAACACTGTAACATTTCTGCTTTCTCCTCATTTGCACAACAGCTACTAGCATCAAAGGTGATCTTATTCATATCTAATTTCTTTCTTATTTCTCTATACCGTTTTACTTTAACCTTTGTTTCGACATTTGTCACTACAGAAGGTTGAACGCTAACACTACTAGAAAGTTCATTTTCCTGACTATCCTCTATCATCAATACGTCATGTTCTTCCTTACTTTCTTCAACGCACATTTCACGTCCTGTTTCACTTTCCACTTCACGTCCTATTTCACTTTCCATTTCACGTCCTGTTTGACTTTCCATTTCACGTCCTGTTTCACTTTCCATTTCACGTCCTGTTTCACTTTCCATTTCACGTCCTGTTTGGCTTTTCATTTCACGTCCTGTTTGGCTTTCCATTTCACGTCCTGTTTGGCTTTCCATTTCACGTCCTGTTTGGCTTTCCATTTCACGTCCTGTTTCACTTTCCATTTCACGTCCTGTTTCACTTTCCATTTCACGTCCTGTTTCACTTTCCACTTCACGTCCTGTTTCACCACCATCTTCACCCCGTCTACCCCCCATAGTTAATTTTTCTAATGCCTCAATCCTCTTTTCTAGTTTTTTTAGATATTCCAATATTTGAGTACCAACCTCAGAGTTCACTATATTGACCTGAACCTTGTTTCCACAAGGTTTAATTTTTTCAGCTGCATTTCCTACTTTCCCTAGGCTCGCCTTAATTGTCTCTGTTCCTTTCTCCCACACATTGTTCATAGGCGCTGTCATTGGCTTCCAACTGTTTCCTCCATGTTCCTGCTGCACAATCTTTCCTTCCTTCGAGGATACATCTATCCTGCTTGTAGCACCCGTCCTCGAGTCTCTCAGATGAGGCTTCATGCGACATAGATAGGAACCAGCATTGTGGCTTCCTCGACAATTGCAACAAGATGGGACGATTTTTTCACCGTTTTTAATCTTGACTCTACACTCTCGAGAGTCGTGTTTCTTACCACAGTACCGACACCTGGAGTCAAACTGGCATTTCCAAGCCATATGTCCCCAACGAGAACACTTCATGCATAATATGGGCTCCTCAATGTATTTTACAACTTTCCTGTAGCCTAGTCCTTGCACAAAAATTCTTTCTGGAGCCTCACCCTTTACCAAGGCAACAACCTGGCTTTGTTTTTCACCACGAACACTGTTCCTCTTTGCCCAAACAACACTATCATTGTTGAGCAATAGATAATCAGGATCCAAATAAGTTGGATACTTAAACACTATGACCTTGGTGTACATCATACCTTTTTCCGGAGTAACCATCACAATATTCTCAAACCCATCCTTCGTTAGGTGTTCCACGGCCTCCTCTGTCCCAACTGTTATATAGGGCCGGTGAAGACCCTCCTTGAATAGTGGTTCATATTCAAAAAACTCCTTAGCCAAACGAACCGTCCACTCCAGCTTTTGATGGAAATTCAGTTGACATGCTGTAGGGAACAACAGCCTCTTCCTTCCATTAGTCTGCATCTCCCGCGTCCTGCTGAGCATGTCTTCATTTTTTGGTCTCTTTGTTATTTCCTCCTCACTGTCTTCGTCTCGCTGTCTTTGAATATTTCTCCGTTTATATCTGTTTACTACTGCTTGATACGGCCTAGTATCATCCTGTCTGCCATCCCCACTGTCACACTCTCCAGGCCCAGTACAGGATCTTCCATCACCTAGGCAGACCGCCTCAGCCATTTCCTCGATACACAAAGGCACTGTATCACTGCAACAGTCGAGAACAAATTCACAACATCTAGCTGCAGCAGCCACGTGCAAACACGAAGATGCGGAGCAACACGTCCTCCTCGCATCATGCAGCAGACCGGCCCCTTGAGGGACTTGAAGTAGAGGGGGGTAGAAATAGCCTAAGCTACTCTGTCCCTTTGAGATGTATTTATTGCTTATCTCAATAAACATACTTGAACTTGAACTACATAAATACACAGATTTACGTATGCCCTACATAAAGTGTTCGATGTGTCTTTTACATAGTGTCATTAACGTGCATTTACAAAGGTGAAATGGAATTCTGATCAGCTTCCACATATACTTTATACACATACATATACACACACAGACATATGCGTACATATACATATATATACATACATATATACACACATACATACACATATATTTGTCTCTTTTACTCTGACAAGGTGAGATAACTGATAGAGAAACTAGTGTGCAATTAAGCACTTAATCACTGAAGGTGATTAAGGTGCTTTCACAAGCTCAGGTTATAGAGTTACATCACATACATTCATTGTATAATTGATACGTTACATGGTCAATCTAGGGTACAAGTCCAATATATCATCAAGTGTTCCAGTACTCAAATAGTAATTACACAGTTCAGCATACCTTAGCCCAGGAGGGCGAAAGTCAGTCAGTATGGGACTTTCTACAATATAATGTTCAAGGGAGTGCATATTTTCTCTTTCACAAAGTTGACACATTGTGTACTCGACATTTGGGTTTTGAGAAAGCTGCCAGATACGTCTATATCCCAAGCGTATTCTGGCCACTATAACATCACATTGCTGGGTTCTTGTTCCATTTTGTTAGGCTTAACCGGCAGGCCAAGGTCTGGCAAACACGCAGCGGGGACCATGCATGCGGCAAAAGAGGCTGCATAGAAAAAATTCCGGGCATACCCGGCAGACAAAAATCTAAAAAAATCCGGCGGCGAAGGAGGCTGCATTAAAATTTTTATGCCTAACCCGTAGAAAAAAAATTTTTTGGCCAAAATATGTCTGGAATTCTGGCAACAAGAATGTCTGTATATAAGTAATCCACAGCTAGGAGCCACATAAAATGATCCGGGCTTAACCGGCGGACAAAATTCCGGCAAACTAGCACCGTTGATAAATAAAAATTCCCGGGCTTAACCGGCAGACTATAATTCTGGCAAGCTAGCGGCTAGGGCAAGGGTGTATAAGAATTCCGTAATAATCGTCGTACAAAAGGGGTTGGGGCAGCCTAACATGCCCTGCCTAGGCATGTCCTGGCTGGAACGTCTACAGGCCACGTGGGGAACAGCGCTGAGCACACGCCGACACTTGGGAGGAACCTAGCTTTTCAACTAGAACATAAGATACCACTTTACCTTGGAGAAAGTTGAGTAGTGTAGACCGACCCTAGCTTTTCAGCATGTGAGGTTGAAGGGCCCATGGAGTTAAACTCAACCTGGGTGGGGGCTGTGATCGGGGTTGCAATCGTAGTTTCCATAGTTTCTTGAAGTCCTAAGAACACAAAAATCCTAAGTTTTTCTTCTTTCTTGCGAAGCGAAACGTGTTTGTAGCGGTGGAGCAAAAAAATTTTTCCTTTGACTTGTGAAGCGGAGCGAGGTTGTAGCAAGAGAGAACGCATGAATCTGAATCTGAATCTGAATAATACAGGAGAAGATGCCCATTGGGGCGAGCCTTGAAGTGGGGACAGCTGAAGAGTAGTAGGTGAGAGGAAATGCTGAAGTTGAAGAAAAAAGTGCCAGGGCTAAACCCAGCTGCGTGGCAATACGTCGATGCTGCAAATAACCCAACAACTGGCTAGGCTTGGAGGCGGGTCTGGAAGGCGGCGGTGGCAGTGCTTCAACATTCAAGGTGGAAACAATCTGTCTTCAGGTGGTGTCTTCTTCTTCTTCAATTTGGTGTTTCTTCTTTCTTCTTGCTTCGAGTAATCATTTGATGTTTGTACTCGGCGTAGTCTGGTGGGAAAAGGTCTTTTGACAGTCTCCGTGGTGTAGTGGTAAGACACTCGCCTGGCGTTCCGCGAGCGCTATGTCATGGGTTCGTATCCTGGCCGGGGAGGATTTACTGGGCGCAATTCCTTAACTGTAGCCTCTGTTTAACGCAACAGTAAAATGTGTACTTGGATGAAAAAACGATTCTTCGCGGCAGGGGATCGTATTCCAGGAACCATAGGATTAAGGACTTGCCCGAAACGCTACGCGTACTAGAGGCTGTACAAGAATGTAACAACTCTTGTATATATCTCAAAAAAAAAAAAAAAAAAAAAAAAAAAAAAAATGTGGTTTCGTAGCATTCAATATATATTACTTCGTTCCTAAGTGTGTACTTTAAGTTTGAATCATTCAGCAGGCATTCCGCATATCTTGTGTTGAGTATTGCTGGAGAGGCGTCTGTATTCGGGAGTTCCAAGTGTAAGTTTTTCACGTTGATCATATAGTGCGGAGACTCTTGGAGACTCCTCTGTTGCTGGAGATGGAGATGGTGATTGTGCTTCAACGTCAATCGAGGCAGTAGAGTCATCATCGGAAAACAAGTGTTGGTTTGCAAAAGCATCAGGTGTAGGTACCTGTGAAGCTGGTGTAGTCTCAGGTGCGGCTGGTGTAGTTTCTGGTGAAGTTGGTGTAGTCTCAGGTATCACTGGAGAAGTAGATGGTTCGTCTGGAGTAGTAGCAGTGTGCAAGGATGTTGCAGAGTCTGTAGCAGGTTGCACAGGGTGGGCGTCAGCAGACAGGATATCTGCCAATGCAGTTGAAGGGTCATGCAGAACGCATGACCCCTCCTCTCTTCTTATATAGGCCCCCCGCGGCTCTCCGCACGCTGCGCTGCGGATCGCATGCCCGAAACGCTTTGCGTAATAGAGGCTTTAGGCATTGTATGTACTAGCTCTACCTATAAGTCAACCAATATTTGTAAAAATTTATTGTATGTATGTACCTTACCTAAATAAAAATTATTATTATTATTATTATTATCGCGCTGTGCAACTGTCTTCTCCTCCATCAGAAATTCCTCCGCATTCCTACGTAATGCAGCGGTTATTTAGTTAACCATAACTTTGCATTCATTTAATAATTATATTAAGATATGTTTTCCTTGAAATGTAGTTACATTATCGTCTACATGTTTTATTCTGACATAAAGACCTATGGCGTTACTTTGCATATATGCAAAGTAATTATAAAATTGATTGGCTTGTGTGGAGGCCTTCACACTCCCTGAGCGAGCCATCAAGTAACTATAAAAACGCATATATCTTCACTTTCACTTCAGTTATATTTATGCCAAAGTACTAACATGCAGCTTATATTTATGTCTTTATGATGACATAGAAAACTTCGTTTATTACAATATCTAGATTAAATTAACATTGATCTTCGGAAGGTCATAGTTCCCATATTGGTAAGGAGAGCGTCGGCCATGAAGCCTTGTTTAAAGTATGAATATTTTTCCTCTCTAATAAGGTATAATCTCTGTGATGGATTCACAAAAACTATTTTATATCTGCCTTTCTGATAACATATACAAATATAATCTTTATTTGTGAATATTTGTTAATTAAGCAATATATCAGAGGGCGTGTAGGGTTCGGTGTTCAATGAACGAAAAGGACTGGATCACTGTGTACAGGAGGCTGATATGGCAGCAAACACTCTCCAGGCGACCATATATCTTGGATAAGTCGCTCCACACAATTGTCGCTTGGACCGTCGACTTCCTATGGCGTCACCTCTCACATATTTACGTCTCATTTCGTTATGAAATTAGATTATTTCAGAGTAAAAATAGGTTTGATCATGTTCTACGTGTAGCACCAACATTATAGTAAGTAAATATACCATATTTCTTCATTACTTACGTAATGCTAGGACGATTTGTGTAGTTTTGGGCCGATTTGGGCTGATTTGGGTAATTCTATGGACCGCCTGCTGCTCAGGTCTTAAGCAGGGGGCGGTCATGGTGTTCCGTACAGCACGGGGGCCTGCTGCTCAGGTTTCATGCTGGGGCGGCCATGGTGTTCCGCACAGCACGGAGGCCTGCTGCTTATGTTTACTACTTTAAATATATACTGTGAGATGCACACAGACTACGGCCATTTCTAAATGAAGTGTTTTTTTTCTATTAATGTTGCTAATCAGTAGTAGAAGAATTTTGTCTGAAGCAATTTTTCTTTGCTTGTCATTTATGTGAATTTTAGATTCATGTTTGTTAGTCTAGTCAAAGTATTCTGCCTTCATTCGTGTGCTGGACCAGGTGATTCATCAGGGGTCCTCCTTGATGTACTTTCCCCCTTCTACACAACCCATAGATGTACTTTCCCCCTCCTACACAACCCCTAGATGTACTTTCCCCCTTCTACACAACCCCTAGATGTACTTTCCCCCTTCTACACAACTCCTAGATGTACTTTCCCCCTTCTACACCCCCCTAGATCTACTTTCCCCCTTCTACACCCCCCTAGATCTACTTTCCCCCTTCTACACCCCCCCTAGATCTACTTTCCCCCTTCTACACAACACATAGATGTACTTTCCCCCTCCTACACAACACACAGATGTACTTTCCCCCTTCTACACAACACATAGATGTACTTTTCCCCCTCCTATACACTCCCTAGATGTAATTTCCCCCGTTTTACACTTTATGGTTTTTTAAATCATAAAAGGTAATAACAAATTATACAAACCATTTGAAACTTATCACTTGTAATGGATGAAATAAAAAAGACTAATATTTACAATTGGCAAGTATATTTACAAGGATGTACAGGTGTACCTGTGGTATTTACAAGAATGTACATGTTATATTTACAAGTAATGGATGCAAGACATGATGAAATGTGAAAACCTCAACAATTCCTCTAACTCAATAACCACACTGTGCTCGTCACATGGATACAGCTCAAACACAATATAAAACAAAATTACAAACATATGAAACTTTGGTAAATATCCACATAGAAAAGGAATACTGTACAATAATTTTAAGAATACAGACTTGCATAAATATCAACAAGGAAAAAAGTGGCATATATTATCTCCTCTAAAATGGTTTTGTAAACAAAAACAGAATTCTTAAAACTAGAAGACCATTTTTGAGTTTTAAGTTTCTGGAGTTGCTTCTTTATCTCTTATAAATGTTTCTCCCTTACCTAATAAATTTATTAACATTAAAATACCAATCTAATATTTCTTTCTTTACAATCACCAGAGATTGCCGAAACAAAAGTGGAAGAAAGTTTTTGGCAAGAAGTGCCGGAAAAAAAAGAAGAGGGCTTTAGTGAATATGTGGGTCTGTGGGCTGCTCCAAGATAGACTCTCTCTTTTTACAACTTGCATATACATCTCCTTTATTTCCTCTTTGTACTTTTCTAGTTCTTTATTAACCTCACCTCCTCTATGCGAGTTGTCTATGTAATTTCTCTTTGCTTATCCCCCCCCCCTTGCATATCCTTGCCTAACTGTTAGCCCTCAGGGTTCCTTGAAGTTGTTTACCATACGAGTATTTTCTTGTATATTTCTTCAAATTCACCACTCTTCACTTTCCATTATCTTTCACTAGTTCCTTGATGTGTGCCTCCTATATCCTCACCCTATCCGTCAAGCTGGTAATTTCCTTACCTTGCTGGAAAAATTTACTTTTAAATTACAAAACTCGATCTTGAGACCATTTTCTTGTTCTAATTTAATTACATTTTCTTCATAATTCTTTAGCAGGTCTTCAATAATCAATAACCTCCCCCCCCAAAAAAAACACCTATCAGTGCGTGTGTGTGTGTTCACCTAGTTGTGCTTGCGGGGGTTGAGCTCTAGCTCTTTGGTCCCGCCTCTCAACTGTCAATCAACAGGTGTACAGGTTCTTGAGCCTATTGGGCTCTATCATATCTACACTTGAAACTGTGTATGGAGTCAGCCTCTACCACATCACTTCCAAATGCATTCCATTTGTCAACCCCTCCGACACTAAAAAAGTTCTTTCCAATATCTCTGTGGCTCATTTGGGCACTCAGTTTCCACCTGTGCCCCTTATGTTAAATAGACTGTCTTTATCTGCCCTATCAATTCCCTTGAGAATCTTGAATGTGGTGATCATGTTCCCCCTAACTCTTCTGTCTTCTAGAGTATGCGTGCGCATGCATGCACGAATGTAAGGATTTCAGGTCATGTTAGGTTTTGTTGGTAGTTGGTTAGTGTTAACAAGGGTTTGTTATCACTATTTTACTAGTAATCCATTACTGGATACATATCTTATTGTCATTCCAGGGAAAAAGTGGTTTTAATAGTAATAGATATCCACAAGTGCTAGCAGTAGTTTTGTTTAGTGGTCCCATCTTGGATGGGAATGTTGATGTGCCCTTATTTCTATCAGCAGTCTGTTGACCCAAAGGTCTGGATGATCTATTACTTGTCATTTATTTATACACTACCATTAATAAAGTGGTCAACAGTTTTGGAGTTTGACTACCAAAGCTGATTCCACTATGAGGTGAAGGCACTTTGTCAAGAGCTTGAAATGATTCATTTCTGCACAAAATTGGCCCCAACAGGGCAAATCTGACAAATTTTTTTTGAAATCTGACACATGAAATCGAGGACACAGAATCAATGATGAAAACCCAAAATGTATAAGAGCCAAGCAAGTTGGTCACCAAGTGAAAACAAAAGGTTATAAACAAAGGATTGAAACAATAGAAGGATGTTGGGCTCCAGCGTTGTACACTTTTGTTACTATGGGTAAAATGTTTGCCACTATTTACAGTACACCTAATAACTCATTACCAAAACCAAGCCCATGAATATGTAGACGAGGAGTCGCAATAACGTGGCCGAAATATGTTGACCAAACCACACGCTAGAAAGTAAGTAATTATCAAAAGAAGGCACCAAACCGGGAAGGCTATGTAGCACCATCAAATGTGCAGAATAATCAGAGGGCGCTAAATATCACCAAGGATGCCAATACGAGAACAAAAACGCATAAGGCGAACGATATCAAAAGTATCCGAGTCACCAAGAATTCTATTGAGGAACAGGTGACCGCGAGGGGCGGTCGGAAAGCAAGACACACGCTCGTCCTGGAAGTCAGGACATTCAAGAAGGACATGAACGACCGTAAGAGGGACAATGCAACTAGGACAATAAGGAGCAGGGCAGCGCTCCATCAAGTGTCCATAGGTTAAGCGAGTACGGCCAATACGCAACCTCGCCAGAGCTGCTTCCCATCGCCGGTTATGCACACGCTAGAAAGTGAAGGGACGCCGACATTTCGGTCCGTCCTGGACCATTCTCAAATTGATGACAAAGGAACGTCGTCGTCCCTTCACTTTCTAGTGTGTGATTTGGTCAACAAGCCCATGAATGTACTATATTATATTCTAATCAAATATAAATAAGGTAAACTGTAAATGAAACCTTTAAAATTTTAAATATGGAGAAAATATATACCGAAATTCTCAAATCCGGTTCAGTAATACTGGTACTGTACTTTACTGTGGATGTGCAATAATTCCCTTGATGCTATTCACAAGTCAGTACCAGCATGGGATGCAGTGGGTATGTAATAAATTTATAAATTAGTTTAAAAATGAGTAATGTGAAATTTTTTAACATTACTCATAATACAAGAGATTAACCTGTCCATAAAAGGAATATTGCCACATTATTCACAATTTGAAATCGATCTCATTAAAATACCAAATGGCACTGTAAAAATTTGCATCCTTTTAATTGTACCATCAATACAGCATCTATATACCATGAGGAGTGACGCATCCTCATAATCGCTCCTCAACGTGCCTAATGGGGGGAGGGGGGGTTCTATACAGCTCGTGGTTTTGTTCACAAGTGCTTCAAGTCAAATTACAATAAGTGATATACTGAAACAAAAATTTAAAATGCAAGATGTTTCAAGCATAAAAAGACAAAGTTTAAGAACTATACCATGTTATATGCATATGGGATAAATTAAACCAGGTACCAGAGTTACAAACTCAGTGGAACTGGGAATACCTTAAACTTAAAAAGTGAAAAGCAAATAAATATTAAAAGCAGATGACAAGGTAACTACAGAATATCAAATCTTAAAGGGTTCTTCCTGATGTATAAAACATATGGTGTTTTAAACCAATATCTTATCTGTGTGCACTAAATAGGTTGATAATGTGTCTGAAGCTGGACAAAGTTACAGGAGAGAGATTCAGGGTAATAATTATCATTGAAGTTAGTTTCCAGATTGAAAAACTAAAACAAGACCAGACCCTAGGCACTAATGACATTTTCCAGGGTTTCAAAAGAATGAAACTAATTATCGAAAGATAATGCTAAGCCAAAAAAGTTATAAAGCAACGTTACTAAATATTAAGCGTTCGAAACAATCACTTGGGATGCCAATATGACGGCAGAAACACACAGGACTAGTCATAAAAGAAACAGCTTTACCAAGCATTTTATAGAGGGAAAGGCAACTCAAATGGGTTTTAAGAAAGCAAGATTTCCAACAGAAAAGCAAAAAGAAATACTGTACATAGTGATAAGCTTAACACAGTTGGCAGGAAAATAAGGAACCTTGGTAAAAACATTTAACATACAGTACTGTATTGCCTTTAAAAAGAAATACACAAATAAAGGTTTAGGGTAAAACACATGAATAAAAATGGCATAGTGAAAAGATGCCAGTTTTGTGGACTTGCCAGTCAAGTATGGATGGTTGGCTGGAGAGCAGTAGCTACTGCATGCTGGGAAACATTTGTTGGAATTAGCACTAGTGTTAGGGAAGTAACTCATGTCTCTTTCTAATCTCAACTATCTACTGAATTAGGTAGAGATGTTTTGAGCAAGACTAGCAGTGTGGAACCTGGGAAGCTGATAAAAGAGCAAGATGAAAAAAAAAAGGAAGGTGCCATTAGCGCTTGCAGAGACATCACGTTAACCCTTCGACTAAGACAAATATTATCACACAGCATGTCCATGCCCAAGCTACCCCAATACATAAGACCACATTGCTATTAATCATATAGCAATATCATTAATAGTAGGTTGCATGGCAACAATCTCCTGGCTCACATTCATAATTTTCATGCAGATTTCTAATTTCATAAGAAAAGCCCTTTCTTTTGTGGGTACAAGTGCAAGTGCTAAACTGGACCTGGTATCATCCTGGTATAAAAAACTCCATGGTTTTTATCATTTACATCTAAAAGTGCAAGAGGGTTTTCCTTCACCCCTTCATTTCTTAACGCAGTCAACTTGCTTCCTAGCCTAACACTGATGGAAATGGTTCTGGTATATTTAGGCATTCAGTTTACCTGTAACTTGGCCTGGTCCCACCACGTACTAAATGTGTTGAGCAGGTCAATGCCCAAGTATCTTGCAATCATGTCTCTCTCTCTCTTATCTTTTCTCCAGCATTTTCACCTCTTAGCCTATCTTTGTGGGTCCTGTGGCACAGTGCTCTAATTACCCCCTGAGTTCACAAGAGAGGGACCTGGCTTCAGTCCACAGGCAGGACAGAAATGGTTGGGCAAATTTCCTTTTACCCAATGCCTCTATTTGCCTAACAGTAAAATAGGTATCTGGGAGTTTGACAGTTGTTGTGGGTTATATCCTGGGAAAAGTCAGCAGTTGGCCTATGGGACCTCAGTATGCCTTACAGGCTTCCTGTCGCCAACAATTGGAATTTATACCTCTGTTCCTATAGATCATGTGGTGATAGCATACTGTGGACTTAAGAGCTTATATTTTATATGGTTAATAGTGTGACAATCAAAACAGTATTTCAAATGGAACAGTTATCAAACTCAATTCATAATATTAGCTACTGTAAGTAAAATGTGTAAACGGTGTCAAATTAACAAATCCACAAGGGCCATGTAGATTCGAACCTACATCCAAGAGGATCCCAGACGCTGCCTTAATCAACTGGGCTACGACATAGTTAAATCCCTTGTGGATTTGTTCATTTGATGCATCATGCTATTGTGATTTCTGTGTGTAATGGTGTCAAATTACGTTATCACCAGTAATTCTCTGTTGTCTAAAATCTTCACCCGATACATAATGCCATCAGCAGGTGTCCAATATTCTTCACCTCATATACAAGGCATGTCGGCACACATCTCTGGTTCTTCCACCAATACATGAAGCAATCAGCTGACACCCAAAGTTCTTTGCCCAAGTGTGCAGCTACAGTGTTGTTACAGGGGAAATCCTCCTCACTAACTTTTGTTTGCGTGAGAACATTCAGACTGGTGGCGAGTCCAGTCTTTAATCTGAAGCAATATACAAACATTACTATACTTGCAGAAACAATGATTAAAAAATACAGTAATTATTTAATTACAAATAAGAGGCAATGATTTAGAAAATAATGACCAACAGATTAATATTTATCTGAACATCAGACATGGTATAAAAAAAAGTAGCATTAATGAATGTAATGAAATGCCAATTTCTAGGTGATCTCCAGTGGCTTCCTAAAGTTACTACACTGATTCAGTACCATACTAAGTGCCATTAATCGCAGAGTTCTTAGAGGCCTACAGGGGCCAACGAGCCAGAACCTGGCCCCCTCAGAGAGGTGCAGGGAGCAGTGGCACTATGAATACTTTTCATGTAAAGTTTTTTATGTAAAGTTATTTATCTCTGCCACCACCAGGGGAAGGCACCCAGAAAGATCAGTGAAAACAAAACAAACTACTGCTTGGTTAGAAACGAGACCGCAGCTTCATAACTGCCAAAAGAACTCCCCAACAATGTAAACAATCAAAAATACAAAAACGTTAAACAAGCGCAAGCAAGTTTGCCCCACCTCCCGCCCTTGTTTGAGGCGAAGAGGGAGGCAGATCGAGTCAGCAAGCTGTTCCACCACTAAATCTTATGATGATGGAAACCACCTCAATGCCCTGTGGAAGGGAGGGTGTCAGGGACCCACCAGGGCTCACCCAGAAGTTGGCATTTCATTACATTCTACGCTGGTTTTCTGGGGGGGGGGGCCTTGTGGTTTCCTGAAGCTATCTACCTATGAAGATGGAAATGGAAGAGGGCACACCAGGGAGGAGGAAGCACCACAGATATCAAGGCAAAAAGAGCCCAACAGCCGCGAAATAGAACCCAAGGCCACGGAAGACCAGGAACGTTCACAAGACACCCGGCTGCAGTACCCAGTTCGACCACTAAAACCCGTGCCCATAGAGCGCCGAAAGATCGGGCTACGGAAGCACATCAAGAGCATGAGAGTAGATCACAGGATTGCTAAAGCATAAGACACTGTGGATGACCTGAGAAATACATGCCCCAGAACAGGGAATTGGGAAAACCACCCAAAATAGAGCTAGTGACATGAAGGCAGTGCCATAAAGCCCCATCTGACACAGCACATGATGCACCCCCGGCAGAAACAAGCAAGCGTTCACCATTAGAGGGCCCCACTGGAAGCCAACCAACTCATTCTCAGCCAGAAAAGGTGGAGCCGGTGGAGCCCAACAAAGTGCCCACAAGGGCCAAAAGAATAAAAGCCCTGGTGCCAAAGGTGCTCAAGAAGCACCCACGCCTGGCAACTGGAAGCCAGAGAAGCAAAAGATCACTTACCGAAGCAAGCCAGGACTGAAGGGGCCACCTCAAACGGAGTGGACAAAAGAAAAGAAAGAACTTGGTCAAGCCACCAGACAGGTTCAGGTGATGCAGGAGCAGGCCAGAGATGAAACAATGTGTGAAAAAGCATGTGGGGCCAAAGAGAAAACGACTCTGAATGCAACCCAGAGCGACTCCATCAGCGCCACAAAAAGAGAGGTGAAGATGGTATATGGCAGAAGACGACAAGCAAGGACAGAATAACCTATCAGAAACCGAGAAGCAACGATGAAGGAAGAAAATGGTAGAAGGCACGCCATGCCATGACAAACTGTCGCCTGGAGGGCTGCAGGTGGGACACCATTAACTAACCACCTGATCACCATAGATATGGTGATACACATGTGTCAAAAACACCAGACCCAAAGAGTGGAGGAGAATGTCGAATCAGCAAAGTATGTCACTCGCCCAACCCTTTGAGAGAGGCAGAGCCGCAGAAAAATGCCTGGGTTAGGACACTGAGCAAGCAGTGCCTGAAACCAAGGCTGGACCAGCCATCAAGGAGACAGAAGGATCACCCTCCTCCTGTAGGACTCAAAATGTGCTAACATCCAGAGCAACAGCCAGACCGAAAAAAGTGATAAAGGAATCCCCATCTTGACCAGTCCAGCCGAAAGGTGTCCACCACTAGGGCCTTGCAGTTGGGGAACAGTGCCACGAAATGAGATGATGCCAAGACCACTCCAAACCGAAGAGGTGATGATGTCTGGGCGCCTGAACATCTGACAAAGCCAGAGGAAGGAAACACCACTGAGTGCATAAAAAATATAGAGCATTTTGCAATGAATGTGACTTTTCAGAGCTTCAGAGCATCAACAGCTTCTTGAAGTTTACAGCTCAAAGTCAAAAACAATCACAAAATACCCAACATTTCTGAGAAACAATCAAGACACTCAATCAACATAATTGGGAGTAAGGCTAATTATCCTTGCCCCAACTCCCTCAGCCACCACCATGAAACTTGAAAAAGTTCATCACACAGCAACACAACTGTGTTTCAGAGGAGACATCTCTGGAAGCCAAGGGCCATTGATAAAACAGAACCAGAGAAGAAAACCACAACAGAGCTGCTAGTGGAAAGCAGCAGAGAGTCATGCAAACAAACAGTTGCAAGCAACACAGTAAACACTAAAGCAAGAGAAGCCACTGCAGCCTCAAAGAATAAAGCAATGTAAACTTATTTTAGTGACCTTTTATTTAAATTTTAATCCGGAGAGGATTTATCGAGTAATATTTATTTTTTGTACAATGAGTTGGTATCTTGGTGATGGTCCAAGTTAGATTTGGTAGCCTCCCTTTCCTTACTATATGACCAGGCAATTTGGAATGTTACTAGTGATGGTGGATGAAGAGGGCATCAGAGCTGTAGGATGTACAAGGTGTTTGTGTAGACCCATGCAGCAGTGGTTACTGGCTCAGGTTAATCAAGGGGCCTTTGCTCAAATGCCTTTCAAGAAGCAAATAATTATTTAAATATTTCCTGGGAAGATTACAATTAAAAGACTGTACGCCTTCCTTCTTCAGCCTTATTGAAGAAACTAAGTGACATACGCTATAGCATTGATAAACATTGTAAGCCTGTGATTAGTTATCATTAAACTGTATGTCTATAATTTTCTAAGCATCATATTCCCGATAATATATGGTTTAAGAGCTTTAAACCTGGCATTGAAATAAGATAAGGCAAGGAACTCAACAGAGTACATACCTGACATGTCTGGCTGCAGTACACAATACTGTTACAGCAGGTGAACTCTCCCGTCACCCCACACAAGAAACACGACCGCTGTAGTCAAGAGAGAACCAATTTTAAGATAAAATACCCCAAACATACATCAATGAAACATAATAGTAACCTATTAATGAATAATTAACTACATCAAGTTATTCAATATATATTAATATGAAAGGGGAAAGCATAAGTGCAACATAGTGTAATGAAATACTAATCCTAAAAAAGCCTTTAGTATGGTGGTAGTATAAAGCCATGATAATTAAGCTGGATACAATACAGCATGTGGAAGCAGCAGCTCAGGAAAGGAAGTGTCAATGAGATGTAAGGAGCCACTTACATCTCACTGATGCTTCCATTTACATGTATATAAATGTTACTACATTTACAGCAGTCTCGTCACATTCCTTCACACAATTGCCATAATCAAACAAACAAAATGACTACGGTTGGATCCCAGAAGGGGATCAAGAAACGTATCAACATAGAGTATTTCAGGATACAAAGAGGATGGCAGAATGAGTAGAGGTTGGTGTAATGAGCACAGATTAATAATATAGGTGGAGGTTGGAAAGAGGAGATAAAAGGAAAAGATGGTATTATGTGATGGCATTATGTAGAAGTATGTGGTGGTGGTATGTAGCAGTAGTTGGAAGGTTCTCCTGGTAGATGGCCATCATTATGATAAATTTAAATAAAAGTTTTGTTCAATGAACACACTGCATGGGAAAAATTAGTGTATGAATTGCTCATTCTTTAATATGCCTATTATTGTTTTTTGTTTTTGTTTTTAAATTTGTAAATGAGCACAATAGTGAGAAAAATAGTTGCATTAGAAAAACCATAGTTCAGTTTTAATTTTGAGATGGCATTTGTTTCATTCACCCATGTGAGCCCAGCTACCTTTGTAATTAAGGTATTGAGGCTTGGGCATGGGAAATTAGCTAGATGAGATGAAATCTCTCTACAAACAGGTGCTAATGATAACCCCCATTATATTACTAGTGTAGATTGAAATTGAAATTTCACATGGTGAAATTGGAAAACAGAGTTTTCCGCAGCGACTATAAGAAATATTGCCGGAACAACCGTGGACATCTTCAAGAGAAAACTGGACTGTTTTCTAAGAGAAGTTCTGGATCAGCCGGCCTGTAGTGGGTATGTGGCCCTGCGGGCCGCTCCAAGCAACAGCCTGGTGGACCAAACTCTCACAAGTCGAGCCTGGCTTCGGGCCGGGCTTGGGGAGTAGAAGAACTCCCAGAACCCCATCAAGCAGATCATAGACAATGGAAAAAATTACAGTATGAAATCAAATATCAAAATTTTCAGTTATATGTACATCCAGAGGAACCAATTAATTCAGAAAATCAAGGTTGCACTGTGCAGCATTTAATTAATTTAGCTGTGGGTTTTTCCAGAGGAAAAATGATGTGAATAATTTGTTAGTAAAGTAGAACCCTATTCAGTAATGTGACACAATAAAAGGGAATGTTATGTGTAATTTAGGGTGAGGTAGAGTCTTAATTATTTTAACACCAACAGATAATAACACACCGATAACTCTAGATAATCTCACCTGTGATAATATGGATAATTCATATTTGCTTCTTAGAAGACTACTCTTATTGCTGTCAGAAAAGTGTATTGGTGTCTGCCGAGGAGAACTTACTGGTGTGACTGTTGCTTCTGATGCAATTTTCATAGAGGCATTTTGGTGGGTAGTTGCTTGTTGCGCCTGTTGGTGCGATCTCGCAACTCCCATCACTGAGCTTGTGGGTATGTATGGTATACGACCGGGTGGCTGATGATCTGGTTTAGGTGTGTGTACCACACTAGGTGAAGACTGAGCATTATTCCCAAAACGTGCCATGGCAGCTCCTGAGGTGTGAGCTGGGATGGCACTTACCAGAAGATGAGATTGATGTCCTGGCTTGCTCACTGGTGTACTAACTAGTGTCTGCCCATCTCTCTGCTGGCCTTGAGTTGGTTTACTTCCAGCTGCACCTAATTTAATACATTGACCAGCACTGCCCTCAAGAGATGAACGAAGTGTCGCTGGAATAACACTGCTTCCAGTAACAACAGTACCTGGTGGAAAATTGCTTTCATTTAATAAGGATGTAGTTTAAGGAAAACTATTACAACTAATGCACTCTCATGGAAGATGAACTGGTTCACAACTGACATAACAGGTCCTCAAGCAGAACCATCAGTAGTAACAACACATACTACACACACCAATTTTAGTCATATTACAAAAAATATACATGTATTTTTTAGAATAATTACCATAGTAAGTGCAGAAAAGCTGCTGATGATAAGGTAAGTATTAGTAAAAAAACAGAGATAATAAGTCACTCATGCTTGCCTATTGGTGGCTACGGGAAAGTGAGATTGCCCTGCCTCCTAGCTGTTCATACCTGGTGTGCTAATTACCTCTCAGAATTAACCTTTTCATATTTCTTTTTATAGTTATAGATGGAATTGGCTTTGACAATCTCTTCACTGCATTCCACTTTCCTACCACCCATACAGGGACTAGATGCTATGCCCTTGTTTCTGCTACTGCTGCAGAGGCTATTACTGCATTACTGCTGTATGGATCATGCTACCAATATTATGCCTACTAATAAAGACAACAATAAGGATGAGAATAGTCACTTACAGAGATCAAGGACACAGCATATGAGGTGTATGTAAATGAAAAAGAAGCAGAGAGAGAGAAAGAGCAATACATGAAAGTGAGCATGTGCACGAGTTGACAGGAGTTGGCTCACCCAAATTCAGGAGTGACAAGGTTGAAGAGGGTAAAAGGTTTTGCATGACCAGGTATTAGTAAAAATATTGGTCCTAGAAGGCAAGTCTGCAGTTAAAATTACTTTAAAGAATCACAGGATCCAGTAAGAAGTCTTAATGGTACTTAAAACCTTAATGTAAATGATATAAATGAGGTCAGGTAAAAACAGTTGAAAGTAAATGTCATGAATGGAGAGAGAAATCTATTGGGTGTAAATGAGGTGCATCTTAATGGCAAAGATAATTGGTAGAGGTGAAAATCAAGAGATGGAAGGGGTTGAGGAGGTTAGTTTTGTGGTCGTGAATGTGATTTGTGTAAGCATTAATCGTCTTCTAACTGTACCTTCTAACCTTAACCACTAATGATGGAAAACTTCCAAACAGTACCTTGCCGGTCACTGCTGTGGTGCTGCTGCAGTGACTTTGACTGATGCCGGTGCAAAAGCAGGTGCTGCAGGTTCTGCTGAGGCTGATGATGAATTAATTTATTCAACAAAGGATTGGATGTGTGTGTCGACATCTGTACCAGTGTCGTATTAGGCTGCTGTTGATGCATGGACACTGAGACTTGGGGCTGATTTGAATGTGTTGATACAATTTGTCCTAGCTGTGCCGGAGTCCCTGAAGGGACTGTTCCCAACCCACATCCATTCGCCTGTTGGATGAAAGCAATGCGATTTTTGTGCTGCACATCTGCAGTAATCAGCTGTTGTGGTTGAACACTTTGCTTCTTCTTCAGCTGGTGGTGTTCTGCATAAGTGGGAGGCTGCTTTGCTGGTTGAATTGAATGAACCCCAAGCAATTGTGGTGGTAATACATTGGTGACATTGTAGCACATTGGTGCAGTAGAAGAAACTACTGGCTGTGCAGTAATCATGCCTGTAGGCCAGAGGGCTGTGGTGCTCGACTGGACCTGGGTTGGTGGTGGATTTTGTGGCTGTAGCATCAAACTATTAGACACAACTGCAATTGTCACATGAGCACTGTCCCTAGAAATATAAACAATTTAAATATAGTAATTAAAATTGCATGAGTAAAATGACAAAGGAAACCATATTTTGTCAAGTGTCAGTCATGGAAGATATACTCAAATTCTGGAGAAAACTTATGAAAAATAATGCACTTATATTAAGGCCAATGCAAGTATTGCAATGCAATGTATTGCAAGAAGGCCTGAATAAGCTTTCTAAATGAAGGCTGATAAACTTCTGATCACCTGAGAACAAATGCTAGTAATTATATTTTATTTCAATTGTTAACTAGAATCTACTGTATATTTTTGATGATTTTCTTTTTAACTTTTACCAGGGCCATAGTTAGCATAAGAATACAGTTCTACCAAATTCAAGATTCCTGCATATGGAAATATGTGCAATGACCTACATACATTAGAGTAGATAAAGGAGTCAATATGCTGAGCAAATGGGGCCATATTGAAGCACTTTACCTGGTGATGGATACTTATTTATGGTTTTATCAATGGTATTATGAATTAACTTGCAAAAATTAATCATTTTGGATTATGAATTAACTTATAAAATGGTTAATTTTGTATAAACAAATAACAATTGTCAATACTAGTAAGTAAAAGCAAAGCGTTTCTGCCCGAAACGCTTTGCGTAATAGTGGCTTTAGGCATTGTATGTACTAGCTCTATCTATAAATTCATCAATATCTGTATCACCCCTTGTATGTATGTACTTTACCTAAATAAACATTTGAATTTGAATTTTGAAAGTGCCTTACTCAAAAGGATTGAGCAAGACACATGTGATTTGGAGCATTCACTCCCACCGACCAGGCACCCAGAAAGGTAAGCACCCCAAAACAAACCCCTATTCCCCTGGTTAAAAACAACCATTAAAAATGATTGAGGAAGGATACAGTTGGAAGACGTAAGTGCCTTGGTCAAAAGGCTTACTTGTGATGAATACTGGTGCCAAAATCAACTACAGATGATGAATCATCTCAAGTAAGTTTTCTGTATTAACCTCTGATTCAGCTCCACCACTATTTACATGCTTTTTAGAAATATACAGTACAGGTTTAATATTATTGTCTGCAAGAACTGTTAATTTATTCATGTTAAGTGAGTGGTGCCCAGGTGATGATTCTGTGACTGCATCTCTGACCCACCTCCACCTGTGTGATAAAGTGTGATCCACTCACCTGTTGGTTTGGTCTAACACCTTGTGCTGTGAAGGCAGGTTACTTGACACTGGCTGCAAAATCATGCTGGATGAAGCTTTGTTTTTTATTACTGGTGGTGCACTTATGGATGGTGAAGCTGCTGCTGCTGCTACGGCTGCAGAAGCTGCTACTGCCGCTGCCGCTGCTGCTGCTGCTGCTTTTGGTTTTGCCATAGATTTCTTAGCCGTTTGCTGCAAAGAACACAAGGATCAGATCACAGCAATTATTTGTTGGTACCCAACTCTGATCTTTGCCATTCATATAATAAACACATTTACAGCTCCCTTAACTCTATCAAACCATAAACTCAAGACACAGCATAAGGAGAAAGTCCTAATTTCTTGTAGTCACTGATATGTAAGCACAAGAATCCTTCAACCATGTGTTTCAACTCACAAACACTTGAGTAAACACTCAACACATGAACTAACACTTAACTCCTAAAAATTCAGGAAAATCTTAACTACTGACTCGACTGATTAATATCTAACTTTCTACATTAATACAGTACTGCACTATTATTAGTAAAATGCTGCTGGAAGCCTACACACTACACAATGAAGCCTAATAAATATTCAAACAAACTGGGAATCTGAATGAGATTGAGTCTGATAGTAGTTAATCAAGGAAGGTATACCTGATCTCTTTACCTAGCATGTGTCAATATAAATATTATATATATTCTTGATACCTGTACACAGTATAATGGGTCATCATCATCCCCACCACCCCACTTAGTGGGAAGTATTTCTCACGTCACAGCAAGACATTGGAGAAAAAAACAGTGTTGAATGTAATGAAGTCATTTTTCTGGGAGAGTCCAGGAGGCTTCCCGGAGCTTCTGGAGCTATCCAGGCTGATATGCATCTCTCTAAAATTTGACATAAGTCGATGTGGGTGGAGTTCTAGGCCTACCGGGGTCCATGAGCCAGAACCTGGCCCTCTCAGAAAGGCACAAGGAGCAATAGCCTAAAGTGCACGTGATTTGGAGCTTTCTATATCTGCCATCGACCAGGCACCCAGAAAGGTAAACGCCCCAAAACAAACCCCTATTCTGGTTAAAAACGACGAAAATAGACAAACGAGTGAACAGAACTCCCCAAATGAAAACGAGCAAACGAGCATGACATCACACGAGCTGCGCTGCATGTCTGCACAGTTTCCCCTTCTCCCTGCCCTGGGAAGGGGAAGGGGGAGCCCCAGACCCCTGCACCGGCAATTCACACCCCAGTACTTCGGCTGATGTGAATCGACATAGTTGTGTGGCTCCAGCTCCGGACTCTTGTGTTGTGCTGTCCTCTGTTTCAGAACTGATCTTACGGTGGTGTACAAGCTGGGAGTAATAATATATGAGCTGGGAGTTTTGCACTGGTAGGGGCACATGGTACTGCACAGCTAGTTTTCACCTTTAACAGCAGCTGGCTGACTCTGTTCCCTCTGGGTACATTGTCCTCTTGCGAGATTTTTCTTTTCTTTTTGTTTTTGCCTGGTGGAGAAGTTTGCCTTGGTGCCTTTCCCCTGTTATACTGTACTAGGGTTTGCTTTTTGTTTGGTGGTACTCCCTGCTTTGCCCTCGTGAGTGAACACGCCCTGGGGGTTCAGCATTAGCAATGTTGTTTGGTAGCTTGGGTGCAGGTTAGCAGTACCCTGCCTGGGATTACCCTTAGCAACCCAGTCTAGGAGCCCTAGGAAACCCCGCGGGGGCACTCGAGTCCAATGGATGTGACCCCCAAATCCCCTCTTGTTTGTGCAAATTTGAAGGTTGCTCTATCCCCTGGTCTCAGGGCAACGCTCATTGTTTTTGCCTCCGTCATGCTGCCTGTTGGGTTAGTGACATCTTCGACCCTGAATCCTGGGAGCATTGTTGCTTGTTTGTGACTCAATTCACCCAATCTACTGATGACATTATTCGGGTGCAAGAGGATCGCGCTTTGCAGGCTCGGTTTATGTTGATTGCTTCCCCGGATGCCCCGAGGCTGCCCCGTTTTGCTTATAAGGAGTTGGGGGTATCGGTTGCGTCGTTCTTGGTTCAGTCCACACTCCCATGTTCTTCCCTTACTGTGGTTTCAATCGGTTCCTCCCACCCCCCCCCACCCCCTTTCTTCCAGCTCCTAAGCGTCTGAGGGCCTCTAGGTTGGAGAAGGGTTTAGAGGTTTCCGAAACTCGTGCGGTTTCGGGGGTTGCCCCTTCCGCGGTGGTGACTGAGGCAATCGAGTCTGTTCCTTCAGCTGTAGCTCCTACTATTTCTTTTCCTGCTTCCACTCTCACGCTGCTATTTCAGCCGCCCCGGCCTTTTCTTGTGAGGCCGGAGCTTTCGAGGAAGACTCGCCCCGGGGCCTGATGTGGAGGTTCCCGGGGTTGGGGAAGAGCTGACGTGGGGGCCTTGGGCCCCGTTGGACCCCACCTGGGTTTTCTGATCCTCGGGGCAGAGCTTACTGTTACAAGGAGTGGGGTTTTCCTTTCCCTCCCTCTACATACGAGTTGGATTTGGATTTGGATTCGGCTCCTCCCCGGGTTCGGTTCAGTGTCCCTGTGGGTCCTTCGGTTCCGTCCTTCCTGAGGTTTTCAGCTTCCCATGTCTTGCCTACTGAGGTGGTGGTGGCCATTGCGGCTTGCCTCCTGCACAACCCAGAGTATGCCTCTATAATGGATCCATTTTTCCTTCAGGTTTGGATCTTCGTCTCCATATTGGGTTCGTTATGAGGTTCGTCTTGTTTCGCACCGAAACAAGGCCGAAGCGACCAACACCCCCCTAAGTCCGGGTCCCAATAAGCAAAACGGGGCAGCCTGGGGGATTACAGGTTAGCAATCAACCTAGCGCATTGCAGCAACCTAAATCTAGCCTGCAATGCCTGAGCTGCCTGCACCCTGATACAGTCATCAGTGGACTGGGTGAAAAAGAGTCACAAACAAGCAACAAATCTTACAGGACTCTGGGTCAAAGGTGTCACCAACCCAGCATGACAGAGGCAAAAACAGTGAGAGTCACCCTGAAACCTGAGACAAGGGGATCAGAGCAACCCTCGAACTCGCACAAGGTGAGAGGGAATCCAGGGGTTGTGTCCATTGGACCCTTTATGCCCTCGCGGGGTTTCCCAGGGTCCTTAGACTGGTATCGCTAGGGGTAAGCCCAGGCAGGGTACTGCGAAATGGCGCCCAAATCTACCAATCAAACTGCTAAAAACTAAACCCCCGGGACGTGTTCACTCACAGGGGCCTAGTAGGGGGTACCACCCAGAAACACAGATATATAAACCTAAGATATAGATAGGGGGCAACGAACCAAAGGCAGACCCCCACCAGGCATGAAAACAAAAACAAAAGAAAAAACCCCGCAAGAAGACAACGTACTCAGGTGAAACAGAGCCGGCCTCTATAATAGGTGATAACTAGCTGTGCAGTACCCTGCGCACCTACCAGTGCAAACTACCCCTTACCCCAAGGTAAACAAGGAAGAAACCCTTAAACACTCTCAAGGCAGTCAATCACCGAGCAGCAAAAGACCAACAGAGGTAGACCCCAAGGTGACTCGTGGAAGATAACCCCAAGCCCTCAAGGGCAGTACTTACAGGGCACTTAGGGAAGGTGACCCTAAGTCCATGCAGCCTGAGTTCCAGTGAAAATTACTCCCAGCTCACGCACCACCCTGAAGACAGCACTAAACACAGGGCACAGCATGGAGACAAGAAACAGGAGCTGGAGTCACACGAACAAGCCTCAATCACATCAGCCGAGAACTGGAGGTGTGGGTAGCCGGCACGAGGGGTCTCGGGCTCGCCCTTCCGGGAAGGGGGAAGCTGCACAGACGGCGTCATGGCAACGTGGTGACATGCTTGTTTGCTTGTTTTTCTTTGGGGGAGCTCTGTCCACTTGTTTGACTTTTAGTATTAGTTTCAACCAGAATAGGGGTTTGTTTTGGTATGCTTACCTTTTTGGGAGCCTGGTACAGTCAATGGCAGACATAGAATACTCCAAATCTCATGTGCATTTCTATAGTCCAGTGCTCCTCAGGCCTCTATGAGGGGAAAGCCAGGTTCTGGCTCGTGGTCCCTGGTAGACCTAAGAACTCCATTCACACTGACTGATATAAAAGTCTAATATATCCATATCAGCCTGGACCCCTCCCCCCCCCTTCCCTCCCCGAGAGCCAAAGGGGCTCCCCCCAGAAAATGATAATACAATGACAAACAAAATTTTAGTTGTCATAACGTAAGTGTGTGTGGTCTGAAAAGAGGGTTTCATTCCCCAAAGCTCCTTCACAAAAGAATAACAATTCTAAAAATAATTAAAACAAAGTTATAGCAAAATACAGCAATGGAAATTACTGGGAAAAAGTACAACTTTTTCTTTGCTAAACTGTGAGTGGGCAAACTTACCCACCCCCTTTCCTTCGTTGTATTTGTACCACCTAACACAAGACAAACTGTTTACATATGCTTGAAATAACCAGCATGATGCATGTTCACATATACAAACTTCAGAAAAAAGTGTTGTTATTCTTACTTTCTTATTGGGTGACTGTGTAGCACTGCCAAAGTGGCTGATGTTGGCAGCTGGTATGATGTTAATTATCCTGTTTTTTAGTTGATCTCGATGGTTTTTGGGACCCTCGGTAATATTATCACGTGTGGCAGACTTGAACACAGCTATTTCTCGAGATAATTTGTATGAAGAGACATCCTGGGGGAGCCTTGCTAATGAGTTCACCATCACAAAGGTAGGCTGTTCAATTTCTAATGGATCTGAAATATCAGTTTTCATAATAATTAAAATGCAAATTAAAGCGACTGGTTTTATTTTTTAATACTGTTCTTAGCCAATTCATTTTGTACTGTGCTCTCTAGTCTATTACTTTGCCAAATTTGACTTATCCTTCAGGTGTCCATTTGTTCAAAATTTAAGTAAAGCAACACCCTGGAATCTTGTGAATGTCTAAGTAGACCAATTACACAAAACTATATCTCTAGCATCATGCATTAATTAGAAATTGTAGCTGAAAAGGGGGAAGAAATCTTCACTGCAACAACATAATTTCATTAATATATTTATCACCTGATTATCCAAAGTATATAATTACAGTGGACTTGCATCAAATAATTGGGAGAATCAGATAATCTAGAGATTTTTCAGTATGTCCAGAGTATCTAACCAGTTACCAGATAATCCAAAGAATGTTTCTATAATCAAGAGACTTTAAATAAACCAGACCTGTTCCTTACTATGATTTCCAATTTATCCCATTTATCTCTGGAGGTAACACCGACCTGTGTCAGGGAAAGCAGCACTAACCTGTTTCTTGTTCAGCTGTATGTGATGTCTCATTTTCTGCAGCAGAATCATTCCATTTATGCACTTTGATAGTCAATTCCTCTATCTCCGACTCATATTGTTTCTTTTCTGACTCTAAAAGTGTAATCTTCTTGTCACATTCTTCTTTAATTAATTTTATCTTCTCCTCACACTTTGTCTTCTTGCCGGTCAGCTCTAACATTTCTTTGGAAATTTCCTTAAAAAACTCCATCTGTTTCTCAAGAGATCCCTTATTATTTGGTTCTGCTTCACTTGGTAAAGTACAAAATTGGTTTTCTTTATCAACTGCAGGCAGCATCTTTGAAATTTTCGGAGCAAGAACCAGTGATGAACTTTCGTATACAAGCTCTCCTGGCTTAGTTTTTTTACTGGTAGTGGCTGTTTCTATTTCGTGAGGCACTGTATCAGATGTTTTGCTGGAAATTCCCGCGTGCCCATCTGTGGTGTCATATGATAGGAATCTTGCCACCTCTGCATTTGGCTTAATTTTCTTATTATTTTCAACTATTTCATTGTCTTGACTCTCTAATCTTATCCTTTTTCTCTTTTTGGGACCAGAACCATCATCAGTATTTCTGCCCCAAGTACCTTCTTTTACTGTATCTAAATTATTTTTCTCTATGTTCGAGCAAAGTGGCGGAGATGCCTCAAATGCAACAGTTTGGTCAGAGTCATATGAACTGTTTCTGTCTTCTTGCACATTTATATCATCAGTATTCATATCACCTTCATTTTCACTGGCAGTAGGTGACAGAGCTGCTACAGTATGGATATTGGAAATTGTCATTCCAAAAGCAGGTGGCGAGTCCTGAGTTGACACAACCCCTTCTTGTGCCATGTGCTGAGGTGAGGAAATTAACTGTGGCAGAGAATCAGTACACACTGTTTGGGTCAAGTCATTCATCGAATCCTTTGGAATTGACTGACACATATTTGCCCGTAGTTTAGATAGGAAACCATGATTAATATTGTCAGGGGCAAATGAGGAAAATGTACTTGAAAATGAACTTAGTGAGTTGGGCTCTGGAGGAGTGGGAGATTTAAGCTGTTGATCCTGTTGCACTGATTCAGGTGACATTGTAATATCTCTGGAAGATATTGATGATGCTTGTACTATCTTTGGTTTTTTCTTCTCTATATTTGATGATATAAACATCTTCTGTTGATGTTCAAAAGCCTTTCTGGCATGCATCATCAACTTACCAACTCCCTTCTTTTTAATATTTTCATCTCTCATTTTCTTCTTTTTCCACTGCCGCTTTTTTGGAGATTTCATATTATTGCCTTCCTTGCTAGGGCTTACCCACGAAGGGTCATTAAGATTCGGTAGTTCATCCGACCAGTCAGAATCCAGCACATCCTCAACATTTTCATCCACATCTGATCCTGTAATGTGCTGTGCAACTGAGGTGGGGGCCACCCTTATTTCTGATGAAATGTCCACACTCTCACTGTTTATTATTTTTGGCATTCTCAAATCATTTTGTACATGAGGTAGTGGGTTCTCTTCCCCTTCATCTTCAGAAGTAGTACATGAAGAAGTCGTGGACTCTTCCCCTTCACTCAGTGATTGACGTCTCAACCGCCTGCCAAAAGACAACCGTTATCAACTTTAAATAAGAAAACCAGATATGCTTCAAATATTAAAAACATTCATCTTAGTAAAAGAATAATGTTATAGCAATGTAATTAAATAATGTGTTCAAGGCTTTAAAATATACAGTACAATTAAATGTATTAACAAATACTGAACTGCTAAACTGTGATGTAATCACATTTTAAATATGTAGTACAGTTCTGTACATCTGAAGTACTGTACAGCATATCATTAACTAAAATTCTCAATAAAAAAATACAGAAACACAAATTAATTTCACTTTTATCAAAGTTGTACATTTGAATGAGCATACATGGTATCATAATATTAATTGCATCATTCCTCTAAGTATCTTCAGGTTTACAGATAGATCCTGATTCAATACAGCAGTATTTTGTAATATTCAAATTTACATAATATAATTAAATTCTAAACAATTAGCATTTTTAGAATATCCACAAACTTATGAAAATAATCAAATTAGGTGCTGAATGTAATGAAACAATCTTTTCTGATGTCCAAGATATATATAGGACTGAGGCTTCCACATCTTAGGGAATAGCATCAGGCTTTCCAGACCCACCTGAGCCTACTTACTGGGAGCCAGAACCAGAATTTGGTTCTGTCTACAAGGCAAAGGAACCTTAAGGATTGGAGACCAACCTAAATCAAGAAAAACACCATAACGTATATAAGCATCAAAATAAGCAAGTGTTTAAATTGAAAATAATCTGTGTGGTACTGTATTTACTGAAATCTCTATTATAAAAACATGCATTCATTGAGCATGGCAAGTCATCCTAATACTGTATTCCTTTCTCAATCTTCCTGTTTATAATTTTTGTGTACTCTATATCCCTTCATTACATTTCTATTCCTTACGCTCTATTTTACTAACACCATGCATTTCTCAGACTGCTCATGTCTCATATTATTATTCTTCAGTTTTTTCTATATTCATACCACAGTTGTCTCACTTCCATACATAATGTTGTGTGAGAAGTCATACATATGGATCAACACTAGCACTCCTTCATACAACCTCTGCCCCCATTCTTACATTAGGTTCAGCAGTAGCACTTTATTAAAAGGCATTGTCTAAATTTTTCATATTCTCAATCCTGTTCTTGTGATATTTTCTCCATTCCATGTACTATCCTCTGTCTTTTATCCATGTCTCACATAAACTTAGCACAACAAAGTTTTTGAAGTTTTCTTCATTAAAACTTTCTTCACCTGCAGTTTTTGTTCCTCTTATATTTCTATAACACTGAACACAGCAGGTGCTGTTTCCAGGTTTTTTTACCTTCAGTGGGAAGAAATTCTGTGAAGATGGTGTTGGCACATCCCTATGCCTAAATTATAATGGAATATAAACAAATGATTATATGAGTTGCAATGTATACAATTAACTGTGGCAAATACAGCACTAATGTTTATGGTTAACTTACTCTCTCTGCTGCCTGGTATGCTGCTCAATGGCCTTGGGAGTAAGTCTTCGGAGAATTACCTTCGGGGACATGCCATAAACTGTATGACTGCTGATTTGGTTAGATTTTAGCTGGCACAGCCCCCGAACTTCTGCGACAAATTTCTTAACTTGAAAAATCTGTTTTTCTGGAAAGAAAAACACCATTATTATATATGCACCACCCCCAGTACAAAAGGCATCCTTGGCAACAAAGAATAAGAAAGTATAAGAGTTGACAAATATTATGAGCATGTTGGGGAGAGTAAGAGAAGTCGGGATGGTGTGGGGGTAGGTTTAGGGTTTGGGTGGGTGAGTGGGTGGGACAATTTAAGGTTTGGATGCTTGCCTATCAGTGAATACTGTACAAGGCAGTGCAAGCTAGGTCATTTATATCCCACCTCCTAGCTGTTTATAGCTGGCATGCTAATTACTGTATCTCTCAACATCACATTTTCATATCTTATATTTTTCTTTAAAGTTGTAGATGGAATTCACTTCAACAACCTCTTCCTTCAATGCATTCCACTCGTCAGCTACCCGTACAGGAAACGAGAACTTCCTTAAACCTTTACAATTCAACTGCATGTCCGGCTTCCACCAATGACTTGTTGTCCTCCCTTCTTTTAATTTAAATAGGCTTCCTTTATATACTCAGTACTCTGTTCATTCCCCTCAGGATCTTGTATATGGTTATCACATCCTAGTTCTTCTATCCTTTAACAATGTGAGAGCGAGTTCCCTCAGCTTGTCCTCATAGCAAAGCGCTTTTAATTCTGATACTAATCTTGTTGCAAACCTCAAAGCTTTCTCAAGTTTTTTGTGTTTCATATGGTGTGTGTGTTCCATGCTGGTGTTGCATGCATTTCTTGAATACTGGAAATACATTTGCCTTTTTCTAGATTTCCACTAGCTTTTCTGTCTCTAGAGAACTATATACAGTAGTTAATGGGTAATGCAAGACCCTAGTGTTACGGTAAAATCCTGCTTAGGCAGAAGATCCGGCTTGTTCCCTCTACCGCTTATTCATCGACGTATCTGCATGCTTCAACAACAACAATAATAATAATAATACGTGTTCAAAACATATTGGGTGTCTAGACAGACCCCCCCCCTCCTCCGTATAGTACCCGAGACACCTGGACACCTGCTGTCTCCCTAGACGGAAACTGCTTGTTTAACTGCCGGTTTCTCCAGGATTCGCACCAGCTTACAGTTTTTTATTCTCTTTGGTTTTTACCTGCAGCTCTCACACTAAAGAGATCAAAAGCAGATTTATTTTGTTTTACTTTTTTTTTTCAATGTTTGATCGGCACAACACCAGCCAGAATAGACACTGTTCTATTTCAGATTTTTGTCACACTAGCATTATCCATTATAATAATAATACCCCCATCCTTGTGTATTATTATTCATATAAATTTACTAAAGAGCAGTATAATTACTCAGTTGTGAGAGATGCTTTAGCATTAGTGTTGGCACTGAAGAAATTTTTAGATTTATTTAGCTGCTATTTAATATAGTTGAGGTATATACTGTACAGTACTGTATTGATTATAATCTGCAAGTGTTCATTAAACAAATTAAGGAAAAGAACAAAAGCATTTTATAATGGGTATTGTATTTACAGGTCTTTAATATAACTATGCACCATTTACCATGTAGATTAACTGTAATTGCAGATGCACTGTCAAGAATACCAGCATCGTAAAAAAATGTCTTAGATAAGAGATGCTGGGGGATTGTTCCGAGTCCTATTAGAAATATTTTATATTATGTACTGTACTTTCTATGTACAGTAATTATTTTGTGGTAGCATTGTATAAATTAACTGCACCTCTCTGAAAAAATGTATCTACTTTTCAAGTAGTCACGTTTTTTCCCCTTGGGTGGGGAGGAGCATTGACCAGAGTTGGTCTTGGTTAATGAAGCAAGTCATATTACAAACAAATTAAGGATATTTGTTGAGTGTGGGAACAGTTTAGCTATGGTGCTGCCAAGGGCATGATAAATTTATACCATGTAAGCTCCTGGCTGGTTCAAAGAGATACAAGTCTATAAAACAGTTAAATTATTAAACAGCCAGGTTATATTACATATACAGTATAATTATGAAAGTGCAAGCATACTCCACAGTGATTGTCTGGTGGAAGTCAGCTTGGAGAGGATTTCTGACATACTTCGCGGGCTCAGAGAAATGTTACACTGTACTTCATCAACAAGTTTTGGGATTGTGTGATGATAAAACAGGAATTATGCCCACTTGTCTTTTCCTGTCCAGTTGCAAGGGAATAGATTTACCTCTATTATGGGTTAGCTTTGAGATTACTTTGGGATTGGAATTATGTAGGGGCCGGGCCTTGTCCACCTCAACTGGAGGGCGTGATGTTGGTTTACTGTTGTTGTGGTTTATAGGGGTTGGTTTACTGCAAGATCACAACAATTTTTAAAGCCCACCACATCAGAGGCTTACAGTTTTTGTGAGGAAGATGTCAGTTATTGAATTTAATGTGTATTATTGAATTCAGAATAAGTTTATATTGTAAAGTGCCAATTTGAAATTAAACCTCAGCTAACAAAACATACTCACTCCAAACTCTCAAGTTCTTGGATGGGGTTTACAAGCTTACCAAACCCATCCAAGCCATACCTAAGCTAGCCTAAACAATATATAGTATTAATTTTACACAGAAAAACTAGATCATATTATGTAATGTCATATTAGGCGACACGGCTATGTAATAAATGAGTCTCCAGACTTGCCACATCCCAATGTGCATTCATCGAGACCCCCTCATCAATTATTGATGAAATGCCTCAGCATAACGACTCTCAGTGTTATTAAATAATTGATGTCTGGAGCCACAAGGCCAGAGTAGAGTCCTCACACACACACATATATACCAGCTGTCTACAGCTCACACTTACTCTCCATCTTCCTCAGCAGCGACAACCGTCTCCAGGAAGAACAAATCGAGCACTGAAGCAGTTAAGGTGTAGGAGGAGGAGCGTGGTAGGAGAGGTGGAGGCTGCCGCTGCTCTCACTGTGTGTGTGGAGACTCACCGTTCACTTGGTACACAACACGCATTACCTCACACCACTAACACTACCACCCACCAACACTTGCTACAAGTAGCGCCCTGAGAGGGTAAAACTAGCAACATTGTCATAATAGCCAATATTTTTTATTTAGTGACTGGTACAATTTTCAAAGTAATATATTTTATTACATAGAGTTTACTACATGATTTTATTAATATTATCTCTGCACACACACACACACATATTATATATATTTATATATAAAATTCAAATTCAAATGTAAATGTTTATTCAGGTAAAGTACATACATACAGGGCGTGATACAAATATTGAGGAATTTATAGATAGAGCTAGTACATACAATGCCTAAAGCCACTATTAGCAAAGCGTTGGTGTTGACGTGGCGGGCTTGCCATGGGAGGCCAACTTCCTCCTATTCTCCGGGTAAACTCCGTGGGTCTGGAGTTCACCGGTCGTGCTGGATATGCAGACATGGAACTGGTTATGTGCGACATGCTCCGTGTTCCTGTGATGGCCGTTTACGGTGTTGAGTTGGTGACTGCCCACCGGGTAGTTATCAAGTTAGTAATGGAGGAGGAGTACCGTGATTTCCTCCATCGTTATGAAGGGCGTTCGTTGCCATTGCCGGGTGGTGCCGGCTCTGTTTCCATCTTGGACCGTAGTGGTGCCCTGACCTATGTCAGTGTTCATGGTGTATATCTTGATATAGATCACAAGAATCTCCTTAGGAAAGGAGATTGCGCCTATTCCTTCATTGCCTTTTCAACAACAACACGTCTGCATATTCAACAACATGTTCTCAGGAGCCATGTCTAAACAAGCCTCTCCACCCTACCTCCTCCAGTACCCATCAGACCAGTACACCTGGCGTCTGGGAGTCACCCCACTAGCTGGTCAACAAGCACATTGGTCGTTTGGGTCTGCCGGCTTCCAATTATCGGCACACCAGCGCCATTTACACGACCTCACCCGTATATATATATAAGGAGCCCACCAGCCACTACACACCAAGTACGGGAGACATCTCCCGTCAGGCAGGGTGCAGTCGCACCTCCACAGATCTCCAGTATCAGCTAATGATACTGGTAATGGCTCAAAAGGGCCACCACTTACGGGCTATTCATGCCCGTGCCACCTTTTGAGTGGCTTAATGTTCATCAATCAATCAATCACTACACAACGGGAGACATCTCCTGTCACGCAGGGTGCGGTCGCACCTCCACAGATCTCCAGTATCATATATTGATACTGGTAATGGCTCAAAAGGGCACCACTTACGGGATATTCATGCCCGTGACATCTTATGGGGTGGCTTAATCTTCATCAATCACTACACATGGGGTCACGACCTTCCGTAGGGTGTAGTCGCACCTCCACAGATCTCAAGTATCAGCTAATGATACTGGTAATGGCTCCAAAGGGCCTCCACTTACGGGCTATTCATGCCCGTACCACCTTTTGGGTGGCTTAATCTTCATCAATCACTACACACCCCCTACAGGCTACTCATGCCCGTGCCACCTCTTGTGATGGCTTAATCCTTATCAATCAATCACTAGACACAAGTTACAGTCCCACCCCTGTGCCAGGTAAGTCCACTACAGGTTCACCATAACCCCAGGGCGCAGTCGCACCTCCACAGATCTCCAGTATCAGCTCTTGATACTGATAATGGCTCAAAAGGACCATCACTTACGGGCTATTCATGCCCGTGCCACCTTTTGGGTGGCTTAATCTTTATCAATCAATCAATCACCATAACCCGTGCTACTTGGGACATTTTGTTCTCAGTAGCTGAATCTATAACAACAACAGCCACTACACATCAGAATACTCTGTGCTCCTAAACTGCTACGTCTGCTTCTCGCTCCCAGCTGGGTGGTGGTAGATTTACACAGCCTATGTATTTAGTATTCCAGCAACATTTATTTTGATCTTAACGTAACGATCACTTGTCTGTTTTTATTGTTGCACTGTGTTATTAAGCCAAGTCATTGAGAAGTTTATTTCGTTTAACGTCTATTGTGGGAAAGTTACTCGAATCTATAATAGCAAATAAAATTCGTCTTCATCTTGAAAAACATAAATTAATAATTGAGTCGCAACATGGTTTTATAAATGGCCGTTCATGTTTAACAAATTTGTTATCTTTTTATTCTAGCATTGTTGAGGCAGTTGATAGTGGTAAGGATTGCGATGTTGTATACCTTGACTTTAGCAAAGCTTTTGATACAGTGCCACATGAAAGACTGATTAAAAAAATAGAGTCTCATGGTATTGGGGGTGCTATATTAAGCTGGATTAGGGCATGGCTATACCAAAGGAAACAGAGAGTTAGTATAAATGGAATCAAGTCAGAGTGGGAAAATGTTGTAAGTGGAGTGCCTCAAGGCTCTGTCCTGGGACCTCTGTTGTTTATAATATATATAAATGATTTAGATTCAGGTTTGAGTAGCAACATTTGCAAATTTGCCGATGATACGAAAATCGGTAGGGAAATTAATTCGGAGGAGGACTCACTATCACTTCAAGTTGATCTAGATAGGGTTTTGAAATGGTCAAAGGATTGGCAGATGCAGTTTAATGCTGATAAATGTAAAGTTCTGAGGTTAGGTAATGATGATAGAGTTACAAGATACGAGCTAGATGGTGTTGTGATTGCGAAGTCGGATTGCGAAAGGGATCTGGGAGTTATGATTAGTAAGAATTTAAAACAAAAGGATCAATGCATAAATGTTCGTAATAAGGCAAATCGGACACTTGGATTTATTAATCGCAGCGTTAGTAACAAGACACCTGGTGTGGTTCTCAAGCTATATCTTGCTCTAGTTAGGCCCCATTTAGATTATGCAGTTCAGTTTTGGTCGCCATATTATAGAATGGATATAAATTCACTTGAACGTGTCCAGCGTAGGATGACTAAGTTAATTCCCCAAATTAGAAATCTTTCATATGAAGAAAGATTAACAAAGCTTAAGTTGCATTCACTGGAAAGGCGAAGAGTTAGGGGTGACATGATAGAGGTTTACAAGTGGATGAATGGACATAACCGGGGGGATATTAATAGGGTATTAAAAGTATCAACACAGGACAGAACACGAAACAATGGATATAAATTGGATAAGTTTAGATTTAGGAAAGACTTGGGTAAATACTGGTTCAGTAACAGGGTTGTTGATTTGTGGAACCAATTGCCGCGTAACATTGTGGAGGTGGGGTCCCTCGATTGTTTCAAGCACGGGTTGGACAAGTATATGAGTGGGATTGGGTGGTTATAGAATAGGAGCTGCCTCGTATGGGCCAATAGGCCTTCTGCAGTTACCTTTGTTCTTATGTTCTTATGTTCTTATGTTCTTAAATTCTTAAGTATTTTAAAATAAAAAAAATGACTAAGTTTTTTCCATGCTTTGTACTTTATCCTGCAGCTACCTCACCGTAAAGATATCCACAGCAGTTTTATTTACTTTGATGACTAAAAGCAGTGGCTTAGGGCAGATGGAATGCAAGGCACACAAAAAATATTGAGTACTAGGCTGCGTAAGTCTACCACCACACAGGGTAGTGTGAGAGCAGATGTAACAGGTGGAGCACTGAGGAGTATTCTGCCTGGTGGTTGTTGTTGTTATAGATTCAGCTACTCGGAACAAGTTCCAAGTAGCACGGGCTATGGTGAGCCCGTAACTTACCTGGCACAGGAGCGGGGCAAATAGCACAGGCTATGGTGAGCCTGTAGTAGACTTACCTAGCACAGGAGCGGTGCCGTCGTACCCATGAGAGTTTGAAAGCTGAAATGAACAGACTGTTGGGTCAATGTCAGAAGAAATTACAACCTCTGAAGGCCTTGACATGCTGTGGAAAGGAGTAGGGGTCCCTGTGCTACGAATGATATACTTGAGTACTGTAAGATCTCTTATTATGCTGCACCTGTCATTTCTTGTTTTGGTAAAGGTAGGCTGGGCAAGTTGGAGAAGGTACAAAATGAAGCCATGAGAATAATCTTAGGATGCCCAAGAAATGCTATGATTGAGATAATGAGGATGTAATTAAATCTGAAGAGTATTGGGATAGAATTTCCGAGATATATGTAGCCTCTGCCATTATATTAATGAGAGGTGGGGGGAGCTAATGAATTAATCCTCTCAATTCAAAAGGTGGGAAGTAATGAACAATGTATGATAAGAACATAAGAACAAAGGCAACTGCAGAAGGCCTATTGGCCCATACGAGGCAGCTGCTATCTATAACCACCCAATCCCACTCATATACATGTCCAACCCGCACTTGAAACAATCGAGGGACCCCACCTCCACCACGTTACGCGGTAATTGGTTCCACAAATCAACAACCCTGTTACCGAATCAATATTTACCCAAGTCTTTCCTAAATCTAAATTTATCCAATTTATACCCATTGTTTCGTGTTCTGTCTTGTGTTGATACTTTTAATACCCTATTAATATCCTAAAGGATATTAATATCCTAATATCCTAAAAAAAGAAACTATGAAGTTCGCATAGCAGGGCAAGCAAAGACAAATCCTAAAGGGTTTTTTCAGTTATATCGTACTAAGACTAGAGAAAGGATAGGTCCATTAAAAACTGAGACAGGTCAAATAACAGATAGTGATGAAGAGATGAGTAGTATTTTTAATAAATATTTTGTATCTGTATTTACTAAAGAGGAACTTAACAATATGCCTTCAGCCGAACAAGTCTATGTGGGTGGGGACGAGGACAGGTTGACGAGTTTAGCAGTTACCAGGGAGGATGTTCTTAAACAAATAGTAAAACTCAAACCAAACAAATCCCCAGGGCCGGATGAAGTGTTTGCCAGGGTGCTTAAAGAATGCAAAGAGGAGCTTTGTGACCCACTGTCAACCATATTTAATAAATCAATAGAGTCAGGCAGAGTGCCAGAGTTTTGGAAAGTTGCTAATGTGATACCAGTTTTTAAGAAAGGAGATAGATCACTTGCGTCTAACTATCGACCAATTAGCCTAACGTCTATTGTGGGAAAGTTACTCGAATCTATAATAGCAAATAAAATTCGTCTTCATCTTGAAAAACATAAATTAATAATTGAGTCGCAACATGGTTTTATAAATGGCCGTTCATGTTTAACAAATTTGTTATCTTTTTATTCTAGCATTGTTGAGGCAGTTGATAGTGGTAAGGATTGCGATGTTGTATACCTTGACTTTAGCAAAGCTTTTGATACAGTGCCACATGAAAGACTGATTAAAAAAATAGAGTCTCATGGTATTGGGGGTGCTATATTAAGCTGGATTAGGGCATGGCTATACCAAAGGAAACAGAGTTAGTATAAATGGAATCAAGTCAGAGTGGGAAAATGTTGTAAGTGGAGTGCCTCAAGGCTCTGTCCTGGGACCTGTTGTTTATAATATATATAAATGATTTAGATTCAGGTTTGAGTAGCAACATTTGCAAATTTGCCGATGATACGAAAATCGGTAGGGAAATTAATTCGGAGGAGGACTCACTATCACTTCAAGTTGATCTAGATAGGGTTTTGAAATGGTCAAAGGATTGGCAGATGCAGTTTAATGCTGATAAATGTAAAGTTCTGAGGTTAGGTAATGATGATAGAGTTACAAGATACGAGCTAGATGGTGTTGAGATTGTGAAAGGGATCTGGGAGTTATGATTAGTAAGAATTTAAGACAAAAGGATCAATGCATAAATGTTCGAAATAAGGCAAATCGGACACTTGGATTTATTAATCGCAGCGTTAGTAACAAGACACCTGGTGTGGTTCTCAAGCTATATCTTGCTCTAGTTAGGCCCCATTTAGATTATGCAGTTCAAAACTATTTCAAAACCCTATTTAATCAGCTTGAAGTGATAGTTTTGTGTGTTAATTTCCCTACCGATTTTAGTATCATCGGCAAATTTGCAAATGTTGCTACTCAAACCCGAATCTAAATCATGTATACTGTATATTATATAAAGAGGTCCCAGGACAGTTGACCAGACCACACACTAGAAGGTGAAAGGACGACGACGTTTTGGTCCGTCCTGGACCATTCTCAAGTCAATTGACAGACTTAAGGCACTCCACTTTACATTTTCCCACTGACTTAACCCCATTTATACTAACTCTGTTCTCTTTGGTGTAGCCATGCCCTAATCCAACTTAATATAGCACCCCCAATACTATGAGCCTCTATCTTTTTAATCATTTCATGTGGTACTGTATCAAAAGCCTTGCTAAAGTCAAGTTACACAACATCACAATCCTTACCAATATCAACTGCCTCAACTATGCTAGAATAAAAAGATAGTAAATTTGTTAAACATGAACGGCCATTTGTAAAACCATATTGCGACTTATTTATTTTGTTTTTCAAGATGAACTCGAATTTTATTCACACAACTTTCCCACAATAGACGTTAGACTAATTGGCCGGTAACTTTATCACCGTTGATTCAGCATTTAAATTTTATTGTCCTTGGAGTGTGTGTCCACTGGGTGTGTATTGAATTTCTATTGTCTAGAAAGGAGAAATAAACAAATAACATCTAATTACAGTATCTTTTATGAGTACTATTCATACATTCACATTATAGGTAAAGATTATTATATCACTTTCATTATCAATAAAGAGCAGTACAAGGAAATGAGGAAGCTATCCTGATAAAGTATGCAAAGCCATCATATTATTCTCTTCGTGATCAAATACCTTTCACCTAAGGAATGAAATGCATATTACTTCCCATATCAACTGTGTGCATTCATAAGCAAATATTTTTTATGCATAATATTGAGTGCAGTTCAGTATTACGTCACCTGTTAGGAGGTAAAGGATAAGTTTCCACAGCTGCCATGGACCACAAGAGCAGCTAGAGCAGAACCTCGAAACTGATGCAATTTGCATACCTTTACTGCATTTAAAAAATATATTTACCATACAAAATAAATTTCACAACTTAATTTTTCAAGATGTTGAGTACAGTACTTAATTACAGGTACTGTACTGATACTACAAAGAGTACTGAACTGAAATTTCTAGACACTAAATGAGTAATTTGTGAATTAGAACTTAAGAGATATTGCTCAATACAACAAACAGAAGAGTATCCTCAATGGAATTATCTTCATAAAAAACGAGAATTCCTATTAAGTTAAAAAGAGCCAGTTTTTTTTAGGGAAACTGGCTCTCTCAAATCCCCCACTACCTCGTTACAGGCTCCACTTATTATATTTAAGAAAATATATTGCATGCATTTCCATTTGGCTTTTATTCAGATAAATCAGGTGGCATTCAGTTGTTAACTTAAATAATATCTCTTCTACTACCAACAATCATCAAATTTAATGCCAATATGTAAATGAATCGGCATTACTGCACTACAGTATTTCCAGTTAATTTCTGGCACAAATGCACTTGTATATTAAAACTTAAGAACATTTTTCCACTCAAATAAAATGTAAATGTTACAGATCTGAAAGTTAGCATATATACAGCGTAGTGTCGCAGAACTGTGTTCCTAACCGAAATGCTGTGAAGGCACACACTACTTAATACAGACAACCCCCTACACCAGAGACAAGTGCACGCACCAATTACACATTGCTATGGAAACACAACATAGCAGGTTGACTCTAGTCTTTTGTATAGGAAATTGGTTTCTTCTTGAACCCAAATGACTTTCTTACAAAATGGCCACTCAACACAATGCAAGCTACCTCATAAATCTATGCCATATATTCTACTGCATAATGCAAACTTTTACAGCTGAATTCCATATAAAATACAAAAATACTGCTCCACACACTATACATAATTGCATTAAGAGAAACTTTTTTTTTTTTAAATAAATGTGACCTTGACCTCACATTCATTATGTTGCTATGAATATCGATGCCACACCCCCATGAGGGGAGGGAGGAATTGAGAATGGAAATAAAGTTAAACAGCTTTACAAGAGACAATGATGGACACTTTGTTTTATGTTTACACAAATATTTTCTAACCCTATACAGAATAACCCTATTGTTATATATTATGCTAAATATTCTTTACATGTTGAGTCAGGTGATGCAAACTTGTGCAACCTGTCATGACAGTTCTCACTGCATGTTTAAAAAAAATTGGTGGTGTCTTGCAAGACAATACAGTAATGTGAAAATTATTATACTACACTCTCTTTACCATATCTATCATTACTACTAAAAGACGACTCAATTTGGTGATTCACCTTTCCTGATAGAGGTGTCCTTCACATTTCCAACACATTTCAGCCACTCTCAAACCTTATGAGACATTAGTAGCACTTGAAACTGATGTTGGTTCACTTATGACAGGTGTGAAGCAGCCACCAGCTGGTTTGCTATAATAAACGTGAGGCAGTGTTACTTGTTGTTTAGCTACCGAAGGCGAGAAACTGATATTAACTTTGTTTTTAAACGATTGGGTAAATGGTTAAGTAGTGTCAAAAAGCAAAACAAGGAAAATTCAGAAGCCTAGTAACAGGCAAAGAAAAAAGTAAAAAGTAGAGAAAATTGTAAATTTGGTTGCTGGAAAGACAATGCAAACAATGTCCATTTTACTACCCTGGTGAAACTGGTGACTGACACCAAAGTGTCCTGACGGCTGGAGAGAATTATATTACAAAGTACAACCAATGCAAAAGAAACTGCAGGCAATAAAAATAGGGAATAAAACTATTTAGTGAATGAAAATTTGAATAAATTGGCTGAAGAACACTACTCCCTTACTTGCTGCTGCTCAACTCCTTTAATTATTCATTATTAAAAAACTTTAAATTTAAAAATCAACTGAAAATATCAATTAAAATACCCTGCAATGAAACTTGTACCAAAACACAGTGTCAGTAACCACACTTGACATGAACTCTCAGTCACTGGGGAACACGAAGGAAAATAAAACATTCCATGATCTATTTACCCAGTGATAACTTACACAGTAATGTGCAAGGGGGTGCAAATGTTAGTGTAGACACATGACTGTCCAGGCTAATTTGAAGTGGCCACAGCAAGCAACTGAAGCAGCTCTAGCAGTGTATAAAAATCTAAGTTTGTACCCACTATGTATCTACATACACTACCACTACAATTTGTGGCCAATTTAAAAGGCATGCCTTAAAAATATTAAATCCTTATCAATCTAAACAGTACTGATGATGCACAAGCCCTCGATATCCAACAAAGCCAAGATATGTGGCATGCTTTGCCACACTGGCAACCTTTTAATTGATAACTCACTGATATACCCTAGCCTCGTATACCACCTCAAATACCCTAATAAACTTACTATGCCACAGCTAGACGCAAATGACACTGCTGCAACACATACCCTGACTGACTCATAATTAGTCTCCATTTACCTACAGAAATACTCCTAATACATAAAATATATATAGTATTCAGCACTTTTCTCTGTCAGAACAAGTGTTTCTTAACTTGGAATTATGCATCTACAATTGGGTTGTAATATATCATTACTCCATTCTCAATTCTCATGTGTGGAGCTCCTCACTTGGAAAGATTAGATTAACATTATGGGGAAAACGGACAAATTTCTTTCTGTAAATTAACTCAAGGTACAGTTTTCAGGAATTCAATAAATACCAAAATATTAATAAAATGTTATAACAAACCCTTCACTAGTAATTTGCTTTATATTTTTGTTAGTGGGATTTAGGCCTTAGGGCAGGTAGTGGAACGAGTTAGGGTACTGAGTACAACAGTTTCCCTAAAATATGATTCACAAATTGTTTTACACTCAGGTCCCCAATAACTGTTAGGGGGTTAACAGTGTAGAACAGTGACAGAATGGTGTCCAACTGTTCAACGCTGCCCAGTCTTTGATCGCAGACATACTTATTTTATAATCATGTTTCTTATGAACAAGAAAACTTTCCTGATATCTATCAATTGTGTTATAGTGGTGGAACCTGAAAGATCAATTAGAAATGGAATAGCTTTTAGTGTTTTCCAAATCCAGTTTTTATATTAAATAAGTGAGGTAGTTACCACTTGTTTGAACTGAAAGAAAGTATTCAGAAATGAGGCTTGCTTTAGCAGGCATATATTTTTATCAATATAACAAATCAAGTAAATATATGAATACCAAAAAAAAGTGGGAAAAATAGAGACCAGCAGGTGGTGTGTACACATGAACATAGCCAAAAAACCCTGCATGTAGGCACGAAACATCTTTTGCTTCTCCTAAGGCCCACTGTTCAAAAGCCTATTAATATATGCAAACTGAAAATGTTAAATAATATATCAATACTACTCAACCTTTGAAATAGGTAATAGAGAAAATACTTGGCTAGGCAACAAACTTGTTACATTTCAGTGTGTAGTCCACACCTCCCCAGCAAAACATGGGTGTAAATTTACCATGATGGAATGATTTAAAAATAGATGTTGTGAATAATATGCATAAGTTTAGAGCCTCAACAATTTAAACAAAAAAAGATACTTCAAAGGAATCCAGCCACCAGTCCTGCTAATTATGACATGACTATGACATACAGGTCTCTCAGTACCTTCAGTTTACAAAGTAACATAATAAATGAAAAAGCACACATAACAGTTGTCAAGGAATTTATCAATCATTGCAAATTGTAGTGGAAATTTTCAATGTCCCACAGTTGAAATTTGCCACTGTAGTTGATAATGGGAGTTCACAGCAAACTATATCAGCAATTTTCAACTGTGTCCCACAGCCTACCATCCCTAAGTGATTAGTGAAGCCAGTAGAAAATACAATTTGATCATCAATGATCCCTTACATCTATTTCTCAGTGGTTTTGCGAGATCTTTTACTAGTTTCACCTTTGGATCCCTCTTTCCAATTTTGAATTAAAGACAAGACACTGTCAAGCTCCTTTTCATTGGCTTTCTTCTCGGCTTCAATAACTGCCACCTTTCTGTCATACTCTTCTTTGAGTATCTGAATCTTTTCATCGCACTGTAGATTCTTGTTGTTTAATTTGACTAACAAATTTGTTAATTCTCTGAGACTTTTCTGACCCATATTGAGTGACTGATCCTTGAATGAACCTGATGCTCTAGCACTTGCTTGTTCTTGAGATTTATTTCGGTTTCTTGATCTTGTATCCGAGAAATCCTCAATTGCTGGCAGCGGTGAAGCGGTAACAACTTCCCTTGGCATCAAACAAGAGCCATCATTCTGAAGCTCACTTTGAAATGGCATTGCAATTACTTGATCAGGATTATCTGAGTCGGGAATTTCTTGCTTAATATTTGCTTCAACATTAGTGTGTGCATAACCTGTTTCGTCCCCTGCATTTTGGACTGTGGCAACACTGTTACGGTCAGAGTTACTCAGCACATCATCAGGATTCCCAGAAGAGTAATTTGCAGTGGGGAGCATTGATGACATCTGTGACTGCGCCATATATAGTGGTAAAACAGCTGGTGCCAAAGGATACACGGGGATTGGAGCAGTGTATGCACCTACATTGGGTAATATGTTCATTGACACATCTGGAGGGATTTCTACCATATGCTCAGGGCTATCTGGCTTTTCTTGTTTTACTGGCACGTCTTCAACTGGACTTGCTCTGTCAACATCAACTGCTAAACGCCCTCTCTTTTTACCATACCCCCTGCCGCCCCCGCGCTTTCTCTTAGTTCCTCGCCTTGAATTACTCTCATCCGATATTTGGACAATTGGCTCCAGCAAACTCATGTTCCACTCTTTGCTGTCGTCTTCCCAGTCATCAGGTACTGCGGAGAACCAGTCCTCCTCCTCGTCACTCATGAACTGATCGTTCTTCCTGTTGAGAAAAGATGCAATTAAAATATTAAACTCAATTTGAATAATAATTGGAATCATAACAAAAATGCAAAATATAAGGAAACTGTCAAGATGAGGACCACAATGAACCAACTCCTAGCACATACAACGGAGTGTTGAGGACCACAATGAATCAACACCTGGCACATACAACTGAGAGTTGAGGACCACAATGAACCAACACCTGGCACATACAACGGAGACTTGAGGGCCACAATGAACCAACACCTGGCACATACAACTGAGAGTTGAGGACCACAATGAACCAACACCTGGCACATACAACGGAGACTTGAGGGCCACAATGAACCAACACCTGGCACATACAACGGAGACTTGAGGACCACAATGAACCAACACCTGGCGAGTACAAAATAGTTCAAAACACTTTATAATGGTTAATAGAAGAGAGAGTGTTAGTGATGGCACATCAGGGCTCAAAGAAAAAAGGCCTAACATAAGAAACAAAAGTGGACATAATAATGCACTTAAAGCAAGGAGAAATTTTAACACAGATTGCACGTGTGTATTGAGTAAGCCACTCAACATTAAGCACCAGTAATGAAGACAAGGATACAATTTTAGAACATGTTAAGGGGAACACCAGTGCTATTATTGTAACACCACAAATGTTTTATTCACTGATATAAGCAGAGTCAGTTTACTCAAGAAATTGTGTCATCAGTCTGTCGGTCATTGACAATAGCAAAGTCACACCTCAGAGGTGCTAATGTTCAAGGTTGGGGGAAGGTTAGGTTGTGTCAGGTGGCCTCGAGTTATGCTTAGCTGATGGATGCAGATGGTGGCTTGTGTTCTATCCATCGAACTAGCTGCCTTATCTGGTGTGATAACAAGATACTTGTACATGGGGATTCTCTCACATGGGGATGGAGCTTAGCTCTTGGCTTCTCTTTACAAGGCGAGCAATTGCACATTGACGAGGAGATAGAGATTTTATTTACCTCCGAGATGGAGCCCTCTCCCCACTTCAGATTTATTTCCAAGGTGGAGCAAGGGGCTCCACCATTGAGGATTCAACTCTGGTGGCTGGATACTACTCAGGCGTGTCCAGGCCAGGAGGGAGCCTTGACTGACAACTGTGCTCCCCCCTCTCTAAACTTATACCGAGACCTTTGGTGAGTTTGGGTGAGACGTATTTTGTGTTCCTAAATTATATGTTGTGAAATTTCAGGGGCAGTCCACAATATTGATCTCAATTTCTTGGTCAGTGATTCTGATTCTTATATAGTGTTGATATGGGTAACTCAAGGGTAAATAATTGTCCATTAATTTTATTGACTTAACATGAACCTGTATAATATAATAATAAATGAATAATCTCTTAATTTATTTTTAACAATCTTTAAATCTGATCAAGTAATTATCAAGAGAAGGATTCATTTGTTAAGAGATGGAGTGAAAGGCACTCTGAGGAATATACTTATTAAGGAAAAAGATATTGCAGTGATTGTATATTATCATCAAGTAGAGATAACCGTGGAAAATAAGAAGAGTGCCATTTCTTGTCTTAAAATACTTAATTAGATAATGACAGCTCTACCCTTCATCTCATCTGATCTCTCTCTCTACTCTTCCTCTTATTTTCTCTTCCACCTCCCTTTCTCCATCTTGCTCTTCCTCCCTCTATGATGTTCATCCTCTCTCCTTTTCCTCTCTAGCTCTGTACTTCCACATGGGTTATCGCTTCCCATTTTTCAATTATCCCCAATCTATTCACTTTCAACTACTTGTTACATTATTTCTGACACGGAAAAGCTAGAGTTATTACCTTCTACATCCTCATTTTCCAATAATTAAATCTCTCTCCTCAATAATTGACAAATCCAAAAAGAAAGGCAATTCCAATGTTCAGGGTAAATAAAATCTGTTTATGCAACATTATATTTTAAATATGACCCCTTTTTAGCATATTTATTGCATTTATAGCATTGCACTTAAGGAAACTAGTGTTCCAGGTAATGACCAATCAATTTCCAATGGAAAATAAGAAACGTATTTCTGCCATAAGTTGAGGACCACGATGTGTTTCTTATTGTATCTATGCTCTAGAGCATTTATTTCTGAGCAATTTGACACAAACATCATAATTATAATACACTAAATAATTTGAAAACACACAATATATAAAAATATACACCTTGCTGAGCAAGGAGGCAAGCATGATGGATCAAATTAGATAAGTGACCAAGCAGAAGGCAACATACACTAGTGTTAAGCACCCAGTGCCACTTGCTGCTTAATATGACCAAAAGATGTTAAATACAAACAATATACCATGGTGTAATTTAAATTGGTGCAGGTCATTCATTACAGCCACTGATCACTTAGGTCTCACTCATGTTATCATCCTTACAATCTTCTGTCTTACTCGCATTCTTAAAGCACCTTGGAGTAGCTGGCCAATACGTTACACAAGTGCACCCTACTTCCATTATCACCATCACACAATAGTTTAAATTTATCCTCATCTTTACCAGCTCGTGATCAATAAATGCTGCTAATCTTAATACCACTAGTGTAACATCTCTCAGAGATGCTCAACATGCCCACCTTTAGTGGAACACTTTATTTAGTCATGGTTAAACAATGTGGGAGCTAGGATATAAAGAAAGAATGCAAAGGTTATAAAGGAAAACCTCATCAGTATAGCAAAACCTAACATTGATTACTACTCTAATGCAATGCTCTTTGAAGAAGCCCTGGACTGTAAATAACTGTATAAATAGACAGTAAACAACTTCCCAGTTAACTTAGAAATGCAATTGAAGGAGACTCGTAACAATGCTTGTGACATTTATATTTTTTACATTTCAGATTAGCATTATCTGTCAGGCTCTAGATGAGCAGCAGTTTGAAGCTTCAGTACAGCCAAGGTTAGAAAGTAAAAAACCATTTGCTTTATTTTGTCATCCCGTTCCTAACAAAGGAGTTATAAGACAAGGAGCTGTCTTGGCACACGTAATTTAAGAGAAATTAACAAAATGGTAGGTTCCAGAGACAGGTTAAAAAGTAGAACTTGGCCATTTTCCAGTAACTGAACAATATACACATGGGACATATTTAACTGATAATGATAATCAATTGGGCTACAATCAACCGAAAGTGCTAATAGCAAGATTTTAACACTTAACTCTGTTATTCATTCATAGTACTGTTCGGGCACTCCAAGACTGTCTAGACTGATAGGCAAATCCTAAGGTTATGCAACACCGGTCCAACACCATTTTCCCATGAACTGGTAATGACATGAGTGAAATGGAGTATTTGATTGCATACCGCTAATGAAACATTGTTCACGAAATGAACAGATACGCTGGCAAACTAATTGGAACCGAGGGCATAGTACGACATTCACAATTGCAGCATTGGAAGGACACCACTGTAGTTGAACTATATTTCTTGCCCTTTGTATGATGAATCATTCAGTGAAACACATCCAGAATTATTGAAACAGACACTTGTCCTGTCACCTATTTTTGGAAACTACTTTTCTCATGACAGGTATCTGTTGCTTCTCAGATTTTGAATTTTGAATACTGTATAATGAAAACCAGAATGCAGATGATAAGACCGTAGAAGGGAAGGCATGACCTAAGTGAACAGAACGAGAAGCATAAGGATTTCTACGTGCTAGGTCAAAAGCTGGTGATTGACAAATCACTGGTGCTTTTCAAAGGGTGTCTTGCCTTCCAGCAGTACTGTACTGTATTTGTAAGAGCACACAAAAGAGGCCAAAAGCATTCAAAATATTCACATATGGTGCAAAGAATGTGGCACTGCCCTGATTTGTGTGAATTGCTTCAGTATCACACACTCCAGAATCTGTGTTTCATAATGATGCATAAGAATGTATATATTGAGTGAGAATATTGATGAAACTTCAGAAAAACTTAAGAAATTTAATGTAAAATATATAAAACATTTTGGTGTGCATATTTGTGTGCATCAATGTTCTGTTCATTATGAAAGAACATCAAGTGATACCCTGGTGAACAAATTGTTACCAAATAGTTCAGACATATTGTAACAGAAGTGAGCATGAATTGGTGACATCAGGAAATTTCTTTGCTCATTCACAGGCAAGATATACTGTATAATTTTAATTTTAAATTTTTACTGTGATCAGGGAACACATTTGAACACTTTTGAAACAACAACATTTTTAGATATTTTTTCTTGCACATGGGCATTGTCAGCTATAAATAGGAGCACAATGCAGGGGTTACAAAACATTAGGATTCATTATACAGCTATGTTCAAGAGGCAAAGGATTTATCTTGATGCGTTACCTAGGAGTGTAATTCGTATGTGACATCTCTATTTTCCGACACTGTTTTCTTACATGATTGCCTAGGTAGACTAGGCAAGGTTTATTAGGTATTTGTGAAGGGACAGGAACTTATAAATGTATTGTGATACCGGAATTTAGCCGATATTAAACATACTGTATTTTGCTTACGTTTAATATAGAGGCTTTTGCTTACAGCAGATCGAATTGTCTGCATACAATACAAATGCATTTATGTAAAATAGTAGAATGTGTTGTGATTTTGGCAATACAGTAATACAATGCATTATGTACATACAGTACTGTTACTTTTTCCATACCAATAGCTACTCTGCACTTAGAAACAAACTATGTAACTCTTTTATTGCCCCCTTGTTCCTCTCAACTGTGGCTGTTGTTATCTCAGCTAAGACTTATCCTTCACACAGCAATGAGAGGGATGTCTCCTGTTTGAGAAGGAGCCAGTCATAACTGCAGTAAAGCAATTTGAAGTATGCAAGTAAGCAATTTAAGAAAAAAATTGCACAAATTAATTTTGGAGTTAGAGCATGTGGGGTCAAGTATGAGCTGACGAGGCAGACTACTTTACTTTACCTAACTGAATACCAAGTCTCACAATAAATAAGTGAAAGTTGAATCAAACAATATTTATTAATGAGTATACATAAATACATGAAAATACCATGGATAAAGTTGTGTGTGTATGACAGCAAGTAGCAAAGAGTGTTCCACCATTCTAAATATGGTCATTGATGCAGTAAGTACTCATCAAAATATTAACCAAAATATAAATGTGGCAAGATATACGAGACACCAGGTATTCAGCCACCCAGATGGCCAGGTAGTCATATCACCCATTATAGCGAAGAAATTTCTTCAGTATAAACATTTTTATTATTAGTGTTTACCTTATATACCCCTTTTATTTCAATAATATTAGACAAGTGTAACATAGGTCTGCCATCTGAGTGCCCCTCTTCTGGAGAGTGATACTGGTCACCCCAATGGTCCACATTATGTTTCTTGCTAACAACAAACATAGACACCAAATGAACCAAGCCCATAGACTTTCCTATACCCAAAACTGACAAGCTTAAGATTTCCTATGAAATATCTTAGGAACCTGTACTTTTAAGTAATTAAGGAGACATAGCTTCTTTGTTATTTTCAGAACATTTCTGGTATTTTCAACAATGTTCAGTGATTGTCAGAGTTTACAACAAAAAATACACGGTACAGTATACAAAATTAAAAAAAACAAAAAAAAATCTGCTGGAAATTACTTCCCTTGATATCTGATCATTAGGAGGAGCGCCCCAGAATCCAGATCCGTTTCTGAAAAATAAACAAAAATTGGAGGAGAGATCTGGTGGTTGAATGTTATTCTTTGTTTAGAAGGATCCATCACAGGGAGGTGCCACTTTTGCTTATATTTTTTAAATATAGGTGCTTACATTTCTTAAACAGTTCATTTTAACATCCAGAAACTAAGTTAACTATTTCACTTATGTCCAAGGCTTCCTGCCAAGGAATGGGTATACAGTACTGTACCATTCTTTACAGGTTTGTTAACCTCTACCTCCCTTTCACATTCCTTGTTAATAATACAATTACAGTTTCATTTTTTCAATGCCAATGCAATACCTCGCCCTCTGTGATGTACCTGATGATAAGTCTTCATTTATTTCCCACTCTTGAAGTATGGCTTGAGGCTAGGCTTCCCTGGTGATCACCTGGTCAGTCTATTACTGCTAGAGACCTGCAAGCTCATATGATCACAACCAGCTAATCTGGCACCAACTGCAGGAAGTTGAAGCATTTCTTCTTGCAAACATCCACCTTTATTTTGACAGTACAGTATTTCTTCAATTTGCTGGTAAAATATTTGAGTCATGGACCTTGGATGTTGACACTATTCTGAATATATTTATAGCACGTTCACTTTTCAGTTTGTTTATGCTATAGCACCTACCTATCTCTGAATCTAGTAAGATATTACTAGCTATTTGGGACTTTATCAAAGAACTGAAAGTAACAACAAACTGAACTAAGACTTCCTTTCAACATATTAAACATTATCAGCAGAGAAGTGGTAAACAATTCACGCATAAAGACGATGATAATAAAGTGTTTCATTTCAGTAGTTGCTTGAAACATGCATGATGTATAACCCATCAATTATGTCCCATCCAACAAAGGCCAGTGGAGTCCAGATGCCTATACAAGTCAGTGAAAAACAAACCCTGTGCTTTCCGTGGTGTACTTGTCTATCATCATTGGGTTGAGCCGTAGGAGAAGAACTCGTGGTGACATGGCGTTGCAGATGTACGGGCTCATCTTTACAAACTTGCTCAGGTACAATTCCCGTACCTCCAGAGCCACTTTCCCCATGCTCGTCATTATTCTTCCTGTAAATGAGGTATAGCTTACAGTGAACTCTTGAAAATGGGTAGCTATTATTATACTGACATTTACAACCTTTCAATTAACACCAACTTTTTCGTACTCAAGTTACACCATTAGCGCAAAAAAAACTAATACATTGTATGGTAGTGTTACGTGGTGGGGATGGTAGTGGTGATTCATGGTAGGGGTGGTGGTGATGGTGCATGGTTGGAGTAGTGATGGTGTTGCATGGTGGCGGTTGTATTATATGGCAAATAGTGTCTTGCATGGTAATGGTTATAGACAATTGTATTCATTGGTTTGCATTGTGGTTAAAGTTATTGTAAAGTGGTGAGTGTAGTGACTGTGGTAGTATATTTTGTTTGTAGCAGTTGTGGTGTGGTGATGGTATCTGTGCATTTGATGGTGGTTCTATGTTTAATTATGCTTCTACAAGTTTGTTAGCAGTGGTTCTATGAATGGTAGTTGTAACAGTGGTTGTAATCTAGTTGCAGTGATTATGATATTTTTGCTTAGGGGTAGTATTGGTTATGGTGATAATTGTGGTTGTAATGGAGGTTACAGCAATAATTGTATTAGTGGAGTGGTATACTATGGTGATGGTTGTGAGGTGGTGATGGATGTGCTACCTAACAGTGACTATCTGGAAGTATAGCGCTTTATACTTTGTACTGGTGATTTTAATTTTAGTTTCCTTGGCATTCAAATTTCTTGTTATATCTGGCCTTAAATATGGTAATTTTAATTTCCTTGGCATTCAAATTTCTTGTTATATCTGGCCTTAAATATGTTAACATTTAAATATGTTAAATATGTTCATGAATTCTTCCTTCATCACATTCCATGTGTTGACTATTCATAAAGGGTGTACTATACAAGTACTGTATTTCCTTACACTTCTTGGACGCGACCCTTTCCAGTTTCCACATCTGTCTTCTTGTTCTATTTTCTCACTTTAAGGGCTATTCTTGTCTATTCTCATGAGTATCTTGTATGAAGTGATCATATTCCATCAGGTCCTTCCCTACTTTGGGGTTGTGAGATTCAGTTCTCTAATCATTTTCTCGTAGTTTAGTCCAATTAATTCTAGCACTTTTCTTGTTGCAAATCTTTTCTTTTCAAGTAATGGTTCCCACTGTCGAGGACAAGAGGCCTGTTAGGTTATCAAGGTCCCCCCCCCCCCAGGCCAACTACCAACCTTCCCCCAGGATGCAATGCCCAACATATGCCTAACTAAGTTACCTGTTTACTGTTAGGTGAACAGTTTCAATGTGATCAAGCTTTTCTCTTTAGCCACAGGACTCTGCCTCAGAACCTTTCAGTTGTAACCCAACTGTGCCGATTGATATTCCCATGACATATTCCATGTCAGTACTGTGTATTCTAATATTGGCTTCAAGTTACCTGAATATATTGTCTTGAAGAGCTCTTATCTAGGTTGTAAATGCAGTCCTAATATTGGTCAGTTTTCCACATGCTCCAATGTTACCCTATTTATTAAGTCTGTATGTGCCTCTACTGGTGGCGAGGCAACTATGTCCACTCTAAGGTTTTTTTTTTCAGATTCCTATTGGTGCTTTCCCTTTACGGTCTGGATTCATTCTGTACTCCTTATCTCCCTTTCCAATTTTGTTAGCTTACCCTTGTCAATGCTTAATAGTCAATAGGGCTTAACAGTTCTAGAGTTTACCTAGGTTTTCCTGTAATTGCAGTCTTCCTCACATTTCGCATTTATAATTATCTTTACATCATCAAAAAATACAGTATTGACAATTGCAAGTTTATAAATACAGTACAGTATTAGGAACAACAGTCCCAAACCCAATCCTTAGGATACCCCACTTGCAGCATCCCTCCCGCTCGACCCCTCTTCTTTCATTCAACCCTTAGTTTCACGTCAAGTACAGTACTCCCTTACTCAATTTAGTTTTCTCCAGTTATCCCAGATTATCTTTTCATCTTATACAAAAGCCATTCTTCACAAAGCACATCAAATGCTCTTTGACATGCCATTTACTTTAGCTTTTTTTTTTGATAACCTTTTCAACGAACACAATCAAGTTTGTCAGGTACAATTTTCCCCTCTACACCCACATTGACTTTCCATTACAAAGTTTATCCTCTTCAGGGGATCAATTATTCTCATTCCGATTACTCTTTCCAGCACTTCAAAAAGAATACATTTGAGTGACATAATTTAGTCCTTCCCTAATATTCAGACATTTATCCTTTTCTAAATTTCTGGGAGTAAACAGGTATGAAGTGTTTTATTGAAAATTTAAGTTAGGGGATACAAAGTACCTCATGAAGCCACCTTCAGCACATATGGTGATATTAAGCCTGGTTGTGTATGTTCTTGCTTCAAGTTCTACCAGCAGTGTTTTTCTCATTTTTTTTTTTTTAAGTATCAAAATCATTCTACGTTGTTTCTGGCTACTTATGGGGCCTGACAGCCAAGTGGACAGCGCTATGGATTCACAGTCCCGGGATTCCAGGTTCGATCCCTGGTAGAGGCGGAAACAAATGGACAGTTTCTTTCACCCTGATGCTCCTGTTACCTAGCAGTAAATAGGTACCTGAGAGTGTGTAACAAAAAGGAGGCCTGGTCGAGGACCGGGCCTCTGGGATGCTAAGCCCCGAAATCACAAAGATAACCTATCATTTCTCATCTCTACACTGGTTTTTTTTTAAGACCTCTTGTAGAATTCCGCACACACGTCATTTTCCACAAGAATGCCTCCTTCCCACCTCAGCCTGATCACAGTTTCTTACTGCCGATTTCCTTCTCGTGTGATAAAACAACTTTGGTTTGCTCTTAGCTTTTGCAGCAACATTATTTTCAAATTGCCTCTCACTTTCCTTCCTGGCTCTTGTGTACTTATTTTTACCTGTTAAGTGCCCCCTTATTGTCCTCTGTGCCTAGTTGTCTGCTAATCTGGTATGTTCCTTCTCTACCCTACAAATCTTATTCGACCAAGGGTTTTACTCTTCTATTTTCGTCCACCTTCTCATTGAGTGGGATGAACTGCTCTGTGGTGAGTGTTGCAGTGATAATAGCAAGTGTGATGACAAGCTGCATTTGGTAGTTGTAATTTTATGGCTGATAGTTGTTACTGCTAGGGATTGTATCCTTGTTGTGGTTATAGTGGTAGAGGCTGTAGTGGTGCAATTATACTGTTTTGTGATTATGGTGGTGGTTGTGTTGTGCTTGACTAACAGTGAATATAGAAGCGAGATCAAACTCTTGAAGCCTTCTTGTATCCGTTACATTTTAGATTAACATTCCTGAAGTCCAAATTCTTTGTCAAATCTGTCCTTAAAGTTGTGGATGAAGGTGGTCTCCACGACGTCTTTCAGTGCATTCCACTTATTGACCAACCACATCGAGTACATATAATTCCTTATACGTCTTCAACTACTTACCATTTCCAGCTTATCCCTGTCTTCTTAGGCCTAATTTCTCTAAATTGAATGAGGCTGACCTTGTTAATCTTGTTTATTTTTCTCCAGTATCTTACATGTAATGATCACATCCCTTCTGCTCCTCCTCTTTAAGGATGAGAGTAATTTTCTTTAACCTATCTTCGTAATTAGCCCTCTTAGTTCTGGCACTAGCCTTCAGGGAATTCTTGGCTAATGCTGACCTTGGATTCCATGTCAGCACAATATAATCTAGCATTGGTTTTACATAGGCTTACTGCATCCTTATGTAGGTTTTTAAATGCTGTTCTAATGTTAGCCAATTTCCCATATGTTGCTGATGTTACCCTGTATATGTGCACCTCTGGTGTTAGTGTCGTGGTGGCTGGTTGTGGCAGCAAGAGGGAGGGGGGGGGGAAGAATGGGAAAAGGTAGAAAGCTCAGATTAGTGTATTGGTTAGAGGGACTGATGAGGCAAAGAACTGCTGACTTGGCATAAAATAATATATTTAAAAAACTAGTCACAATTTGGCCAAAAGCCTGAAAATTATGCTTAACTATACATCATTAATTTATAACTCCCCCCCCTAAACAAAAACAATAGAATGTAATGACATGCCTCTTTCTGATAGAAAGAGGCATGTCATTGTGACATGCCTCTTTCGTGACTCCCTGAAACCATTTTGCTGAGATTGCTCCAAGATATTGAGTAACATCAGTCGCAGAAGTTCTTGGCCTACCAGGGACCAGAGCCAGAATCTGGACATTCCCTTCCAACATAGGTGCAAGGAGTAACAATCTGCCACCCCACTTGGACAGCATCCATAAAGTCAGTAAAGCTTTACAGACAACTGCAAGGGTCATGGTAACTGAAGCCTCGAAACTGCTAAACAATTCCACAAATGATTCGAACAAAACTGGTTCACTCAAATCTAGCTTGAACCCATTAGTACCGTTAGCCATCATTAGGCAGCCCAAGCCCCAGCCTGTCAACACATGAAGAGGGCCAAGTAGAACGCCACCACCACCTACCTAAGGATAGGGGCTAGCATTGTAGGTAGAGCCTCTGAAGCTGACACCACAGGCCGCAAGGCCTCTGCATCTGGGACCGAATGCAGCAAATCTACATCTCCACAGAACTTAGCCTAAGAAGCTCCAGGAGAGCCCAGAAATGCATGATTGTTGCCAGGGTGCATACAAGCCCTGTGGTCATTTACAATAAAGACCCTGGAAAGCACAGGCAACTGTGCATGGAGCTGTCACATACCTACATCCTTGGAGAGTGTAAACAGGCACTCTCCAAATGCAAAATAAGGAGTCCTGCCCAAGAACATATGAAAGACAGTACTATTTCCTGCCAACCAAGCATTCGGGTATGACAGAGACCTAGTCAAGCCCCAAAGGAAGACAGGAATGTTAGCCAACTAGTACGTAACGAACTTTAAAATGCAGCCAAACTGTCAAAGCAGACCCAAACCCAAAAGAGGCAGGCTATCAATGAAGGTGATCCGCTCAAGCCACAAATGGCAAAACACAACAGAAACCTCCAGAAAAAGAACGAATCCAAAGCACCAAATAGTAC